TGGGAGTATCCCTAAGCACCCCCTATTTATCCCCAAACTACAGGAGCTTTTGGATCACAGTGAGAAAAATATGTTTCTTATACAAAATGCAGAAGATATATAGATATTATATATGTGTCCTAGAGAGCTACATGGAAATTAATACTATGAGGATGACTTGGTGCCTCAGCAATGGCAGAAGCATTCATTTTTTCCTATTCTACAAGTACTGAAAATTCAACTCCTCTGCCAGAGGAAGAGGTTCGTAGCTGGAAAATGTTTTGTTCGCAAGCAACAGCTTCATGTAAAGCTCAGAATATTCTTTGCAAGCAATGAGATCTTTCATGATGGCAATGGTTGCTTTTCTCAAAAACGCAGTTTTATCAGGCAGCTCACTGCCCATTCTGGCATTTATGAGAAGTTACAGTCCTTGCAGAAGTGATAACTGCAATTATAATTTGATTCGCCGGTAGAAAAAACTATCCTTCACTCTTGTACTTAATTGGTGGATGAATCTAATCTAATATGAGGTGGGGGATCCAGATATCAATTTTTGAATGAATTATGGGATTCAAGGTCGGGGAGACTCATTTACGTTGCATATTTATAAAATGTCAAATGTTCTTGTGAACCTTAAGAAATAAGTTCAATGAAAAAAATAATCTAATATAGACATCCCCTGCCTGATCCTAAACTTTGATAACTCATAAATCAGTGCTTGGAACTGGGCATAAACAACAGCTGTTCCAGCAAACCAAACTCAAATATTATTCCAGAACTTCGAGCAAATATTTAGTATCAGGGCTTAACGTATCATGAAGTGGAAGACAAAAAGCTACATAGTCTTGCCAATACACTAGAAGGTAATTTAGGATTGAACAGACAGATCCCCTTTGTGGGGTTATTACTGCTTCAGAGCAGTGATAGATACTTCTAATTTACATCCATAGACACGCTCCAATTTCTTCCATTTAGCACTAGTCTCAATGAAAAATACCAGCTTCACCATTATCATTTACATCCAAGGAATGGTTCCTGAAAAAGTGATTCTCATGGGTACATGCATGTAAATCATTTTGTAAAAATGGGCCAGCTGTATATAAGCAGGGGCCAAAACATTAGACCCAGCAATTCACAAATATTATTTTTGAGCAAGTTCAGTGATGTATTGTCAAAAGCTTTCATGGCCGGAATAGTGGGTTGCTGTGAGTTTGCCAGGCTGTATGGCCATGTTCCAGAAGCATTCTCTCCTGACATTTCGCCTGTCTCTGTGGCAGGCATCCTCAGAGGTTGTGAGGTCTCTTGGAAACTGGGAAAACTGAGTTTATGTATCTGTGGAATATCCAGGGTGTGAGAAAGAACTCTCGTCTGTTTGGGGGATAGGTGTAAATGGAGAAGCTATTGACATCTACAAGCATGTGGGCAATTTCAACAGAAAGGAAGAAACCATAAAAATGAACAAAATCTGGCTACCAGTATTTTTTTAAAAAAAACCCTCTAAAATCATAATAGTAAGTAAAGAATACTTAAAAACAGGGGAATTCCAGACAAGAAACAATCAGGGCCAGCTAATCACCTACCAACAAAGGATTCCCCCAGGCAGTAAGAAGCCAGACCTTGAAACTCTAGGCCATTAAATGCTAATCAAGGTGGCCAATTGCAACATTCACACCTACCTAAAACAAACATGAGGTTTTTTCTCACCCTGGACATTACCGATATATATACACCCCATTTTCCTAGTTTCCAACACACCTCACAACCTCTGAAGATGCTTGCCATAGATGCAGGTGAAACGCCAGGAGAGAATGTTTCTGGAACATGGCCATACAGCCCAGAAAACTCACAACAACCCACGTTCAATAATACTCCCTTCTCACAAAATGAATGTACATGTCCTATATATATGTATCCCTTAGGAAGAAATTGCAGGAGCCATGTCATGAATGCAAGATGTTGAAAATAACCTTTGAATTAAAAGGCAAGAAATAGTTAAGCCCTCAATATTTTCTTTTAAAGTATATAATTCAAATATTCACAGTGCAAAAGTTGACGAACCAGAATTAAGTCATGCACTTACAAATATTTTTCCCCATTTGCCTTTTCTGATAAAGCCCTTGAAACGCAATCCTCCCAAACTAAACAGACAGAAACAGCTTTATCAGAAGTTTTTATAAAACCAAGACACGGGTTATCTTTATCATGGGGCACACCTGGGAATATGCATATTGGATTTCCCATTTGTCTCAATTGTTCCTAATGTGAAGGGACACTGGAACCAGGACAGCTATGTTATCACATCACAAATACGTTCCCAAAGCATGGCGGTTGATATGCCAGTTACGAACTTTACAATTTGCAAAGTGGGTTCTTCTTTGAGATAGAGATCAAAAAATATGTTTCTGTGGCTTGAAAGTAGCACAAGGAGGTAAGAGCCTGTGTATCCTATATAGCACCAACACTGACTGTTCCTCCGTGTAACATTCAATTTCAGTTTGTACATAAATAAACAATCCTTATATTGAGGCTTGACTGACATTTGTAAAGCAGTGCACAGACGAAAGATGCACCAAGCACCAAGTTACTGTTTTAAATAGACTGAAATCCCAGACGGACTGGCTTTAGTAACTTATTTTTGGATTGATAACAGTGAGAAGTACCAAGTACAGTTAATTGTGAAAGCTAGTAGGCATTTATAGGCTGTCAATTTACACATTGTCCCCTTTGAATAAATTTTGATGACCCTTCCATACACACATTTTCAGCACCCTTATGGAATTCCATCCATTTTCACTACGGGCATTTGAAATCAGCAGCCATGTCTAATTCACACCAGGCAAAGCTGAATTAATATGTTCAGAGATCTCGCTGCCCAAACAAAGAATGAGCAACGTACAGATTGCAGAATGCTTGTGCCTCTACCCATTCTTGCAGCCCTGGACTTTCCTGGACCTTTCTCCAAAGCAAGGCACAGGATCTTCCATGGGATGTGGCATGCTCTTTTATGGTCAAAACTAGAAGTGATCTAGTTTTGTGATCACTCTTTTTTGGAGGAGGCAAAATCTACTGCAAATGTTGGGTTGGGAAAATTGGCTCCTGGATCTGCCAAAGTTGCCCTCCCCACCACACCCTGATCAAGACAATTAAGCTAGCAAATTACCCTATGTACTCATGTATAAGTCAGGAAGTTTCAATACAAAAGTTGACCCCCCCCCAAAAAAAAAAACGAATACTGAGTGGACTTATCCTTAACTCTTACCACAATGGAACCATCCACTTTGGTGAGCAGAGTGGCAAAAGGTGAAAGCTTAGTCCATCCCATGAAAATTTAGAAGCTGTACCAACTCCTCTACTTTCTCCATCATGGCACGACTTCTGGTCTTTGTGAATAACTGGGTGGAAAAATGGTGGTGGCAACCAAGGGCAACCAGACCCCTGAAATGACACTGGCATTTTCCCCTCTCAATGGAATAACCTTTGACTTAGCCATGGGTCGCAATGGGTTAAATCCTTGTGCCGGCAGGACTGAAGACCGACAGGTGGGAGGTTCGAATCCAGGGAGAGTGTGGATGATCTCCAGCTCCCCATGCGGGGACATGAGAGAAGCCTCCCACAAGGATGGTAAAACATCAAAACATCTGGGTATCCCCATGGCAACATCCTTGCAGATGGCCAATTCTCTCACACCAGAAGCGACTTGTAGTTTCTCAAGTTGCTCCTGACATGAAGAAGAAAAAATCTATAATTTTGGCCATGAAACCTGCCCTTATATAATAAGTAATATTTGTATTCTGCCTATCTCTCCTAGGATCCTTGACTTATACATGAGGTTGACTTATAAATGAGTATATACGGCAATATCCCCAAGCTTCTTACATTCAGAGAATGGGCAACGGGAAGTAAATATCCAATTTATCAACTGGAAATTGATTTTAAAGCTTCTATTTTGTTACATGATCAAAAACAAAACAAAACCCTCAGAATACATAACTGGTAGCAAACTAAGGTTGTGATTCACTAGAGCGTATGTGTACCCCAGTGTTTTGTAATGGTGTCTTCTTTGAGCTATCTTCAAAGGAACCCCTGAATCTCCTTGGATTCGGCACAGGAGCTTTTCATAGGAAAAGTGCTGCCTGTGCACATGAGCCATTTCCCCTCTTCCTCCCATTTTATTTAACAAGAGAGGCAAAAAAGAGGGTTTACATCAGGTTGCTTTACTTAATTATGTAACCTGGTATTGGCTATTCTAAATAGCAGTGGCTCATTGGGGGTCTAGGTTAGGTGCCTTTCACAGCAACCTAAACATTATAGCTCAAAATGTCAGGAATGGAGCTTGGCATCTTCTGAATGCAAAGCATATGTTCTGTCTCAGAGCAATGGCCTCTTCCCTACTAAGACAGCAGGTTGGAGACAATTTCTGAGACGAAGAGATCATTCAGAAGAGCACAGGCACATGCCACTTAGGAAATCAACTTTGCAAGTGAAATTAAATTTCCAGGTTACTTTAAAACCTGCCTACCTATTTATACTTTTTGCATAGTTTGCGTATATGAAGGCATCAAGACTTCAGTTGTTACTGGAACTTTTGATGTATCACCAAGATGAAGAAAATATCTTCTGTAGTAAATACTGTTTACCAGCCTTGATATGCACCAAACAATCGATATTGTAGAAGGCTGATTTATCAGTGAAATGCCTGTTCAGAATGGTGGGAAATATAAACAGGCGAGGTTTTAAAAGTCATTTAAAAAGACATTCAAAGTCTTGTTGAAGCAGGACAAACAGGCAGCATTTAAGCAATGCAACCTTAACAACTTGTAGGGTTTATTAATATTATTATTAAACTAAATCTCTACTTGGATATGAAATGATTGGCCAAGCATAAAACATTTCATATCGGCAAAAATTTGCTTTTTCCCAAGGTTTAGGGAAACTAGCTTCTAAAGGGCAACTTGAGCTTATCTTCTCTTTGTAACGTGATAGATCGATTACATTTCATTACTTGTAACGCTATACTTGCCTCCCTCCCACCCAGGCTTACTCTACATTGTACTCAAGATTAATGAAAGTTACAGTATAAGGCTGGAAATCAATGCTGCATGTAAGCTTCTCTAAACAGTGGTGTCAACAGTAGCTGAAATGAAATCAACAGATGCAAACACAATCATGCAGGAGGATCACACTTTGATCTTAGGCACTGGAACAGTTTAATCCTGTTTGGATGTGAGACTTTTCAAAAGGTAACCCCATAAGGTAGACACATATGCAGACTAAAGTGCTTTGTTACACGTAAGAAACAAAAGCTCCTTGGACGTCTAGTATGGGGAACGAAGAACAGCAGCATTGATATTGTGCTTTGTTAAAGAGGTCCTCAAAGATCAATGGACACAACTTGTACTCAAACAATGAATTCTGTGCAGCTGCCTTGAAAGACAAAATACTAGAGGACTAAATAACTTCAGTGCAGCGCAACAGCAGAAGGGCTGCAACCACTCCATCACCTCAAATAAGGAGAGACAAAAGATGTCACTGAAAGGTCTATTTTATAAATCGGTAGTTCACAATAAACATTGAGGAATAAATCTGATTCTTGCTTCCTTCCCTATTTCCTAGTTAGGCATAACTGCATTTATAGACATCATCTCACTAGCTTTATCAATAACTTAGTTCAGTAGTTTTCAAACTGTGGGTCCCCAGGTGTTTTGGCCCATAACGCCTAGAAACCCCAGTCAGTTTACCAACTGTTAGGATTTCTGGAAGTTGAAGGTCAAAACATCTGGGGACCCACAAGTTGGGAACCGCTGACTTAGACAATGGAATAGCAGACAAGCTTATCAAAACTGCATATTGCACTAAGTTGAAAGGGATAACTGATACCCCAGAGGGCAGGATCCAAATTAGAAATGATTTTAACAGATGAGAGCTCAGAAAAATTAGTAAAATTTCAGCAGGGAGAAATGTAAGATTCTACACTTAGGCTGTCAGCTGTAGATTTACGATGGGTGACACCTGGCTTGAAAACAAGACAATGGAAGGGATCTAGGAGTCTTAGCAGACCACAATCTAAAGCTTTAAAAAGCCAGTGTAATTCTGCCCACATAGCGGTTTGAAAGCAAAAATGTGATTAAATAAATAGGTACCACTCATTAAAAAGTGTGTGTGTGTGTGTGGGGAGGGGGGGGGGTATTCTGAGGCATCCAGAGGGAATGCCATCAATTCAATCCAAGGGAGGAGGTTGCAGACTGGCTCCTTGGCAGGGAGATGGAACCACAGCACTCTTCGTGGCCGGAGTCGAACACAGCACCTTCCGGGATGCCAGAAGGATAGGGAAGGCCGATGTATATGCCTCTTGTCTGTGTATGATTGTCTGTCAAGTTGTGTATGTTCTGTGTATGTATGTTCTGTGTTCCGCCCTGAGTCCCATTCAGGGTGAGAAGGATGGAAAATAAATACTGGAAATAAATAAATAAAAATTGTAGGCTACATCAAGAGTTTCGTGTCTAGACCAATGGATTTCAAACTGTGGGTCACCAGGTGTTTTGGCCTACAGCGCTCAGAAATCCCAGCCAGTTTACCAGCTGTTAGGATTTCTGGGAGTTTAAGGCCAACACATCTGGGCATCCACAGGTTGAGAACCACTGGCCTAGATTGAGGGAAGCAATAGTACCACTGCTTTGGTAAGACCTCACTTGGAATACTGTGTTCAGATCTGTTCAAACTGGAACAGAGAAGGGTGACTCAAATGATAAAAGGTTTGAAAGAGAAGCTTAATGAGGAACGGCTTAGGGAGCTGGGTTTGTTTAGCTTAGAGAAGAGATTGCTGAGATGTTTAAATATCTGAAAGAATCTCATATTGAGGAGGAGCAAGTTTGTTTTCTACTGCTCTAGAAACTAACACAGGGAACAATGGATTCAAACGGCAAGATTCTACCAAAAAAACTAGAAATTTCCTGACAAGAGCTGTTAGAGACTCAGTGGTTCTCAACCTGGGGGGTCCCCAGATGTTTTTGGCCTTCAACTCCCAGAAATCCTAACAGCTGGTAAACTGGCTGGGATTTCTGGGAGTTGTAGGCCAAAAACATCTGGGGACCCCAGGTTGAGAACCACTGTGTTAGACAGCAGCTTTGGAGTGCAGTGAAGTTTTCCCACCTGGAAGTTTTTAAACAGAGGCTGGGCTGCTATCTCTCAGGAGTGTTTTCATTGTGTAATGATGACATGCCCCTTAAAGAGCTGATGTCCTTAAATTCTAAACATCATAGTGCTACAATTCCACTTTAACTGCCATGGCTCCATCTTATTAATTTAAATATGTATGTATGTATGTATGTATTAATGAACCCTGGAATTAACAATTTTGGGAGAGTATTTTGAATTCTTGGCCAGACTACAAATTACAGGCTTCCACGGGATTTATTTATTTATCATTATCATGAGCAAGCCAAGGGTACAATTGTAATGTATTTTAAAAAACACAAAGTTAAAAAAAATCTTGCCATTATACTAAATGTTCTTTGGCCAGTAGCTGGCCACTTGGAGTGCCTCGTGTTGCTACAAAAAGGTCCTGCAATGTGCATGTGGCAGGGCTCAGACTGCATTGTAATTGGTGGTCTGTGGTTTGCTCTTCTCCACACTCGCATGTCATGGACTCCACTTTGTGGCCCCATTTCCAAAGGATATAGCTATGGTGGATAAAGTGGAATCACAGTTGCTATGCAATTGTGAAAGAGCCCCTAAGGCAAGCATGGACAAACTTGTTCCCTCCACGTGTTTTGGATTTCAACCTGAGGTTGTTAGGAATTGTGGGAGTTGAAGAAGTCCAAAACAATTGAGGACACAAATTTGCCCACACCTGCCTTAAGGCCTTTCAAAGCAGAGGGTGTTTATTAAACCCAGGTGGTTAAAAACATGTCTGTTAACACATCTGAAAAGTGGCCTTCATAACTCACAGTTCTTACAAGTCATTTGGAGTGCCAGGAAAGGAAATTAGAGGGAATTTTGCTCAATTCACATTTTCAAGAGTTTTAATAATAAGATTTAATTTGAAAGGCAACTGCACTGCCTACGGCCTTGTTTGTAACACAACTATTCTCTCGTAGCGTCACATTCAAATAGGACATAAACTGTTCGTAGCAGATCACATTCGTTAAACATTTCTGTGACACATTAGCAATGGATAGGTGAGCCCTTTGGACATTTCCACTAGGGAATCCTGTTTTCAGTAAAATTCTGTAATGCATATACAAAAGCTCAGCTGCCTATATTTATGACTATTGGAATAGTATCATAAAGCCAAGTTAACTCTTTCTCCTAAAGCAGAAGGTGGTGGGTTTACATCAGCCTGCATAAAACTGCACCGCAGGTACCTTCGGCAGGGAGTCTTCCTTTGATATCGAGGGCTAGAATTCGAACACGTGCCTTCGTAAAATTAAGTTGTACCAGTTGACAGCAAAGTACCATAAGAGAGCATACAGTACCTGAACAAAGGAAGGCAAGAAGAGGAAGACGTGTTGCTACTGAACGCTTTGGCTGCCAGAAAAAAGCAGGCAGAATTCAAGCAGGTGCCTGAAAAAACCCATGAGGACCACTCAGCATGCACTGTATATTTATTAACAGAAAAATACTTCTGGCAGGCACTGCGTGGGAAGGCACAGCCATAAAAGACAATGGCAAGAGCAAGGAACTTAACTACAAGAGACATGAACATTCAACTGAGCCCTAGACATGAACTCTGGCTATAATACCCTACCTAAGTGGAACGCCAAGTGGCTACAACAAGGTTGCTCAAGAACAGGGCACATTATTCCTTTTTCCACAGGCCCAATCTTGGGGAGCACCTACATGTTACACGGCACCCATGCAATTGAAGCAGCACCCACATGGTTGGTGTAAAGTCAAGCTATGCCATTTGATTTGACTAATTGCACAAGGGACTATTGAAACGGAAGCCAACAAATTCTGTGGGTTGCACTCAGGATGACTCAAAGACTGGAAAATGCTTCCTAGTAAAAGCTCAGGTAGTCAATTAAATAGGAGGATCCTGTGGGTTTCCCCAGCAGGGGTTACTTGTCAGTCTGCCAGAAGACAACCATCATTACTCTACCAGTCCATATATTTCCTCACAATTCTGAATTGAGCCAATCTGGAATTATGTTAGCTCCGCTACCTATAAGAATGGCATCAACATCCCTTCTCCTATTGCCTTGAAAATAGGGGAGTGCTGTCAGAAGTCCCGGCTCCATAGGAGCATTGTGCGCAAAAGAATTATAGCACCTGAATAAAGAGTATTCCATGAGACTGAATGGACACACTCTCCGGGAAGCCAGAAGCACGGGGCGAGGCTTCGTTTTTCGGCACGCTGCAAAATATCGGTGGGTTTTACAGACCAGTCAGCACATTATGCCTAAAGTCCAGTTAAACTGACTATTTCAGGAATCTGAAATTAAAATCTGAATACAAAGCTATGAGTTATAAAGCAGCACATCACAGCTAAGGCACATGAATGCATGCAAGCCACCGTTTTCCCATTAAGACACTACTTTCTCCTTGCGGACGTCCTCTGCAAGTCAAGATGCGGTCACTTCCAAGTCGAGGATGAATGAGCAGTTTCCCCATATAGGTAAGTACTCAGCACTATGCCTCCTCTCAAATACCAAAAACATGTTGCACATTTATGCTTTAGCAAAAAATAGATTATATATATTTATATATACACGCGCGCACGCACACACACACACACACACATATATTTTTAAAGAGCTTGGTCTGAGCGCATGAGGCAGAACTTTAAAAACATACAGGATTCCGTTTAGAACTCCAAAGTTCAACAAATGCCCTATTTTAGGGTGAAAATTATAAATCTGATAATGATGCACAGCATCCATGAGTGATTAGTTTTTTTCTTAATTTTGAAATAGTGTCATTAACTACGACATAATATTGTAGGTTTACATTTCTAAAGAGAAATAACAGCAGTAGTTGAATAGTTTTCTTTTCATATCACAAGTGATAACCTGCATTTGATCTTTTTTTTTTCTTCCAAGAAATATCAGTCTTATCAACAGTTTTAAAATAAAATGTTTTCTGTAGCAATTAATAGAACTCTAAACAAAAATATGACTCTGATTTAGACGCTTTTCAAGAAGATCTGGACATTTTGTCGAGGTCTGACAAAGTAATTATTTTAAAACAGAGACCAGGTGAGGCCTTAAAAATAGACAATATACTATATTACAGACAAGATTGCACTTAGATTTTCAAAGTAATAATATATCTTTAACTGCAACATTACTTCATAATTTCTTTTTTTTTTAACTTAACATGCTGACAGTTTCTAGCTAACCCACGTGTGAATTTTTTTACTTTTGTTTCTAGTTAAAAAGGAAGAAAAGTCTTATTCAGCATAGGTTACTTTGTCTTTCTTCTTCCCACTTATTAAACTATCAATAAATTATGAAAATCTTTTTTTTCCAGACTGTAATCTTTGTCCTCATGAGGATTAAGTGGCGCGTCAGAATTTGACTTGTTCCTACTAGTTTAGAAAATATACCATGGTTTGATTCCTTAATGGGTTGCTATGTTTGCCATTGGACCCTATGCAATTATACCTTCAAACTCTTCGTTCCGTTAGCACAAGGGTCCCTCTGAGCTTTAGGGACCTCTCATTGAAGACAGACAGATATAAAAAAGAGCCCCAAATGGAGGTGTCTTCTGTGAAATCTCCTTCTCTGGCGTATGTCAGGGGTCTGGTAGGTCCGAAGTATCCACTATGACTTTAATAAAAATAGTATCATCTTTAATATAGGTTCCATTTTCTAGTACGGTTTGTGCAACAAAGACTGGGCAGCCAGAAGCAATATTCATTTCTCCAGTGGGTTTCTTGAAACTACTGCTGTTGGGGTCTGGTTTGAAAGCATCTCCTAAATGGCGCCGAGAAGGTCCTTGATCCATCAACATAAGGGTGACTTTCTGCTTGAACGGCCACGGAAGCAGTGCATCATATTCTCCTCTCATTATGACAAAGAACAAGGACAAGTGCGTCCCTTTGCCCATCCCGTCTCCATTGAGGTAAACCCGGGCACACATCTTATAGCCGAAGTATCCGGTATAAAACGGCTGGCTGTATAAAGACAGAGTCTTTCCCATGACGGCCTCTTGCTTCCGACGTTTATAATCTCGGATTTTCCAGATTAATATTCCATTGTAACTCGCTGTTTCCAGGACTTGGAAGCGGAGATCCATGTCAGCCAGACGAATATCATGAACGCTGAGCATTTGATCGTGCCTCGATAACTGAGACTCCAGAAGACCTAAGAGAAAGTGGGAGGAAAACACCAAGGAAAGATTAAGATACACAGATATGACCCTGAATTCCACTTTGAGTAGCTAAGAACTCAACACGAGTAACAAATGGGAAGCTGACAGCAATAATCTATACTTTATTGTTCATACAAGCATATTGTCTTCTGAGCATGAAAATCGTGCCATTAAACATTTGCTGAGTCAATGACAAGAATATTACCACATGAAAAATCACTGAGTTAAGAACCTATGTGTTTTGCTGTGATTTTGTTATTAATGTCAAGATCACAAGGAACTGTGTTCTTTCCAACCCTCACATCCCAAACTTTCACACTCTAAAGCTGCAAACAAAACTATGTTGAATAAGCACCAAAAGTAATTGGATGTGTATTAGAGAAGATACTGTATTTCTTCAATTCCAAGATACCATTGAATGTACGATGAACACTTACATTGTTCAATGGGTTAAAGTCTTGTGCTGCTGAACTGCTGACCTGAAGTTTGGCAGTTCAAATCCATGAGACGGGGTGAGCTGTCTGTCAGCCTGCCCTAGTTCCTGCCAAACTAGCATTCGAAAACATGTAAATGTAAGTATGTACCACTTCGTCGGGAAAAGGCAAAGAGACATTCCAAGCAGTCTTGCCAGCCACATGACCAGGAGGTGACAACACAGGCTCCTCAGCTTGAAAATGGAGAAAAGCACCTCCCAGAGCCAGAGATGAGCATCGCCTCCAGAATCCAGAAATGAAAAGAGAAGCCTTGCCTTTGTATTGTCGAAGGAAAAAGTATTTATATATCTGTGGAATGACCAGGGTGGGACAAAGGACTCATTTCTGCTGGAGCTAGGTGTGAATGTTTCAATTGACCACCTTGATTAGTATTTGATGGCCTGGCAGTGCCTGGAGCAATCTTTTGTTGAGAGGTGATTAGATTTTTTGTTTGTTTCCTCTCTGTTGTTTTGCTGTTGTAACTTTAGCAGTTTTTAATACTGGTAGCCAGATTGTGTTCATTTTCGAATGCTATTCAAGGTGGTCAGTTGAAACATTCACACCTAGCTCCAGCAGACAAGAGTCCTTTGTCCCACCCTGGTCATTCCACAGATATATAAACCTTTTTTCCTAGTTCCAACAGACCTCACTACCTCTGAGGATGCTTGCCATAGATGCAGGCGAAACGTCAGGAGAGAATGCCTCTAGAACATGGCCATACAGCCTGAAAAAACCTACAACAACCCAGCCTTGCCTTTGTTTGTGTTTGTGTGTCTCATGTGATTGTAAAGGGACTGAATGTTTGCCTATGTATGCAAATGCTGTAATCCACTCTGAGTCCCGCTGGGGAGAAGGACAGAATATAAATAAAGTGTATTGTATCATTATTAATTTCAGAACCACCAAAAGAACAAAAGCTTTATTTTTATATAGGATAAAGCACATGATTCTAAAATACTCCCCATTTTAGAGATGTTTTTATGGAGAAAAGGGATGTCTTAGAATCAGAGGACTGCTGTATTATATATTTAGTAGCTGTATCAATTTAATAATAGAATAGTATTATTTGAGGCTTTTGATATACTCAAGATTCAACTCTTTTGGCCAATAAAGCACACAACAGCAGGTTTTCTTCCATTTGAATTGGGAACACAAAATTGCCTTATTGTCCTTGTGGTATTAACCTGCCATCATTGGCAGAGAGAGGCCTACCTTTACACTGGGATCGGAATTTATGCATTGCGGTTCTTCAGCAATGAATGGGCTGCCTACTTAGAAAAGGCAATATAATGTGCATTAACAGATGGTTACTCCTAGCTAAAAATTATTTTGCATGCTAATTTGCTTTAGAACAATGCAAAGCTATGTCAGCCGCTTGAAAAAGTCCATGTCATACTGCTAATTTGTGGTTTTATTACTTTGTTCACTGAATGAGGCAATGACCTTTTAATGTTATCAGATCTCATTCTGCTGCTCAGATGAAACATTCCTCTGAACGACACATGAAAGCAACCGCAAACTGTACATGTGGAGATTATTAAACCTCCAAAACATAAAATTACATTTATAGTTTGATTCCACTCTCTTCCTTAGAAAGCAATCATTAATAGGTATTTAGAATGGAGACATTGTTTAACCCCAGCAAAAGTCTGGAAGAGGGTAAGAGAGACCTGCCGCTGATTAGGAAGAATTATTGCCTCCTTCTAAAAATAATATACTGTACAGCAGTGTTTCTCAACCTGGGGGTCGGGACCCCTGAGAAGGTCGCGAAGGGGTCGCCAAAGACCATCAGAAAACACAGTATTTTCTGATGATCATGGGGATTCCATGTGGGAAGTTTGAGCCCATTGTATCGTTGGTGGAGTTCAGAATGTTATTTGATTGTAGTGAACTATAAATGAACTATAAATCCCAGCAACTACAATTCCCAAAAGTCAAGGTCTATTTTCCCCAGACTTCACCAGTGTTCAAACTTGTGCATATTGAGTATTTGTGCCAAATTTGGTCCAGATCCACCACTGCATGAGTCCACAGTGTTCGCTGAATATAGATGAACTACAACTCAATGCTCGCCAAACCCTTCCATTGTTTTCCATTGGTCATGGCAGTTCTGTGCGGCAATTAGGTTCAAAATCATGCTGGTGGAGTTCAGAATGCTCTTTGATTATAGGTGAACTATAAATCCCAGCAACTATATCTCCCAAATTACAAAATCAGTCCTCCCACAACCCCTCTAGCATTTACATGTGGGTACATTGGGTATTTGTGCCCAGTTTGGTCCAGTGAATGAAAATACATGTTGTATATCTGATATTTATAATATGATTTATAACAGTAGGAAAATGACTGTTATGAAGTAGCAACAAAAACAATGTTATGGTTGGGGGTCACCACAACATGAGGGACTGTATTAAGGGGTCACGGCATTAGGAAGGTTGAGAACCACTGCTGTACAGTATGACCCCCATATCCATGGAATCAATATATGCAGTTTCAATTATCCATGGTTTCCAGTAAAAGATACATCCTCTGTTTGGCACATCTATCCCACTGAAGAGCACCTGTTCTTATCTGTAGAGTTATGTATCCATTTGAAGTCCAGGAATGTATCAGCCCTCCACCCAGATATACGGATTCTACTGTACAAGAAAATAAGGAAGAACCCTTCGCCTACACAAATGCTACATAACATTTATCTGTCCTGATAGTTGCCCCAACAGCTTCAAAGATGGGCAGAGGAATCAAATGGACTGAAGACCTCAGTGGCCAAAATCAACCATGACGCTAGTGATAATGAAGGATCTTTGTGTGTATGCGCGTGTGTGTATAAGCTAAAGTCCAATATTAGATACAATCCCATTAGGACAGATGGGATAAGAAATGTATGGCCTTCCAGATGTTGCCAAACAGAGTATGCTGTACTATACTCTAAAGCAGGGGTCCTCAAACTAAGACCCGAGGGCCGGTTACGGCCCTCCAAGGTCATTTACTCGGCCCTCGCTCAGGGTCAACCTAAGTCTGAAACAACTTGAAAGCACTCGACAACAAGAATCTTATCTCATCAGCTAAAAGCAGGCCACACTTCCCATTGAAATACAAATAAGTTTATATTTGTTAAAATTATTCTTCATTTTAATTATTATATTGTTTTTAAGTGTTTTTTTGCACTACAAATAAGATATGTGCGTTCTGCATAGGAATTCATTTTTTTTCAAATTATAATCCAGCCCTCCAACAGTTTGAGGACTGTGACCTGGCCCTTTGTTTAAAATGTTTGCTCTAGAGACTTTTGACTGTGTGGATCATAATTGCGGCAAGTTCTTGGTGGTATGGGGATACCAAGTCACCTTATCTGTCTCCTGAGGAATCTGTATAATGAACAAGTAGCAACACTAAAAACAGACCATGGAACAACCGACTGGTTCAAGATTGGGAAAGGAGTATGGCAGGACTGTATACTCTCACCCAACCTATTACATTTGTATGCAGAACACATCATGTAACGTGTGGGGTGTGATGAATTCTAGGCTGGAGTTAAAATTGCTGGGCAGAACATGAACAACCGTAGATATGCAGATGATACCACTTTGATGGCTGAAAGTGAGGAGGAGCCGAGGAGTCTTATAACCAAGGTAAAAGAAGAAAGTGCAAAATCTGGGTTGTAGTTAAACATTTAAAAAACCAAGATTATGGCATCCAGACTGACTGATACTGGCAAATAGATGAAAACATGGAGGCAGTGACAGACTTTGTATTTCTAGGCACAAAGATTACTGCAGACGCAGACTGCAGCCAGGAAAGCGAAGCAATGACCAATCTCGATAAAATAGTGAAGAGTAGAGACATCACACTGGCAATGAATATCCACATAGTTAAGGCAATGGTATTCCCCGTAGTAACCTATAAATGCGAGAGCTGTACCACACGGAAGGTTGAGCAAAGGAAGATAAGATGCTTTTGAACTGTGGTGTTGGAGGAAAATCCTGAGAGTGCCTTGGACTGCAAGATGATCCAACCAGTCCATACTCCAGGAAATAAAGCCCTACTGCTCGCCAGTGGGAAGGATATTAGAGGCAAAAATGAAGTACTTTGGCCACATGATGAGAAGACAGGAAAGCTTGGACAAGATAATGATGCTGGGGAAAATGGAAGGAAAAAGGAAGAGGGGCTGACCAAGGACAAGACGGATGGATGTTATCCTTGACGTGACTGGCTTGACCTTGAAGGAGCTGGGATGACCACGGCCAACAGGGAGCTCTGGCATGAGCTGGTCCATGAAATCACGAAGAGTCGAATAAACAACAACACCATACCCATGTTGACCGGGGTTGCTGGGAGTTGCAGCCCAACAACATCTGGAAGGCCACACGACAGCCATCCTGTCATGAGCATGCTGAAAATAAGCAACAAGCCCCAATTATTAAACAGATAATGCTTGAGAAGATATGCCCCCCTGCTACATGCTCCATTTCAGGATGTATGTTTATTTACTTATTTATTTGGTAGTACCTGTCACTACTTCTCTGCCTTTCTTTCAGCTTTACCTGCATTTCTAGCTCCTTGTCCAGCCGTCTTATCAACACTTTCCAGTTCAGTCACTCTATTCTGGAGGGATTCAACACTACTCTTCATACTGTCTGCTTCTTCCCAGTTCTGGCGGAAGGGACGAATCTCTTTGTCCAGTTCTTTCAGCTTCTCGGCTTGACTGTCTATCACCCGCTTTTTAAAAATAAAACAATAGAAAATTATATTGTATCAAAATTTCAAGAAAAGAAACAGACATGGCATACAAGAAGATTCGCTGTAATGTAAGAAGGATACTGAAGGACTTGAAGAACCATTTCAAATAGATGTACATGTCTAGGGTTAAACAGTAGTGTAACCTCCCTAATAAGCTGTAGTCATAATATAATGGAGTCAGCTAAACACAAATGTAGGATTCTATACTGAATGTTTCTTCACTCATTTCAGACACAGCCTTGAACATGATATAACAAGTTTACTGTCAATATTTCAACACAGATTGACTTGGTGGCCAGGCATAGCCAGTTGCTAGAACTGGGCATGGCCTGAATCCATGCCATGCCAATTAGCGAGTGTCCATTCTCTCACACTCATGATTTCAACTATATGCCTATATATCTAAACTTAAGCAAGATATATTTGGAAAAATACTCAGACTGACAAAATACAATTCTTTCATGTGTTGAATGTGGGATGAAATAAAAGCATTTCTCCATCTTGACACAATGTATTGCCCTGATGGTTTCAAAAACCAGGAATTTTAGCTCAAAGCAATTATAGACATAGGATTTAAATTTAAACATAGTAATACTTGCTAGCAGCAAACATTATTCAAAGCCAAATTTGCAGTGCCAAATATAATATTTGTTCTTGATCTAATTTTTTTACCTGTACAAATTTTCTTTTTTTAATTTCAGATAGTAGAAACTAGCAGATCCTATTGACTTCAACACTTAGTTCCAGACAGAAAGGCCGGAGGGGAGCCTTTGAATCCCCCAACAACAAGACCAGTGCTCTCCTAGAGTGGCGTTGCCACCAGTTTGCAGCAGGGAGGCGCTCAAGGAAACGTCCTGCGGTTAGCCCCTCCCCGCATTTCACAGCTGTTTTAACCTTGTTGAGTAAGTAGTTACTTATTCCATTCTAACAAATGTGACCAGGAAGATACAAAATAAGGCAAACAACATATCTCATTGATGCAACCAAGCATGCAGGAAAGAATGAGACTACACTAATTTTACCTCTGCCATCTCCAGATCTCCATTCACGGGTAGCATATGAGTTTTGAACACGAAATTCAACGCACATATTCTATGACCGATTTTCCAGATAAAACCTATTAACTAGCCATGCAATCTGGGCCCACATGTATAGGTTGTTTTCAAACATTATGTCCTCAGATGGACTTGGGAGAACCCTAGATGAACGAAGGTGTACCCATGCTCTAAGGGATGATATCAATAAATATTCTTTGAGCAATATCATAAAATCATAGAGTTGGAAGAGATCTTGTGGGCCTTTCAGTCCACTCCCCTGCCAAGAAGCAGGAAAATATCATTCAAAGCACCCCCAACTGATGACATCCAGCCTCTTTTTAAAAGCCTCCAAAGATGGCGCCTCCACCACACTCCAGGGCAGAGAGTTCCACTACCAAACAGGTCTAATAGTTAGAAAGTTCTTCCTAATGTTCAGACGGGATCTCCTTTTCTGTAGTTTGAAGCCATTGTTCCATGTCTCAAGGACATCAAATTAAAGCCCATGAGCTCTATGACCAAATTTAACCCCTCTAGTCCTTAAACCAGTGGTTCTCAGCCTGTGGGTCCCCAGGTGTTTTGACCTACAACTCCCAGAAACCCCAGCCAGGTTACCAACTGTTAGGATTTCTGGGAGTTGAAGGCCAAAACATCTGGGGACTCACAGGTTGAGAACCCCTTTCTTAGACAATGGAAAATGTACCCAAAAAAAGCCAATGAATATCCAGAGTTTTCTATTTTGAAAAAAAAATCTGGGCAGGTCCAAGCTTTTCAGAAGAATTGAAATATTTCTAGTATCCAAGGCTTTATTTTCACTGGATTACACATCGTTCCTTACTCCGCATTTCTGCCTTGTGGAAGATTCCTTATGTAAAATGGCAAAATCAGTGTTTGCTTTTTGGATTTCTCTTAATAATTTTGAACAATTGGATAGTTGAATTCATGTATGCAAAAACCATGAATTGGGAAGGTTGACTGTATATATGCATCCTTTACAAGAAGGAGGCACAAACACAGACTCCTTCAGGTTACTGAGTCGTGGAAGAAAGCTGAAGTATCAACTTGACCCATTTGGAGCTGAGATTAATTACAGCGTTTGAAAATTCAGTAGCAGCTCCCTATTTTTATACAATTTTCAAGTGATACTCATTTACTGTACAAGACTTTCTGTTCTAGCACTTGACATCTAATGTACATAACCATGCCTAAACTGAATTATGCCTGCCCTTCTGAAAAACCTATTTTGTGAAGACCTATTGGAAACGGGTTCTCATTTTTGTAAAATGGATCAAATTATGTCTGTGCCAGTTGTTCCATTATAGCTCCAATGCTTCTATTATATGATATAAGAACAAAAATTTACACAATTGTGTTAGAGGAGGGGGAACTGACAAATATAATGACACGACTCCTCTTCAACGAGTAATCATAGTCTTTTGAGATCATCTCCATAGTACAAGAAAGGTCAGGGCCATTTGACACAGGAGAAAATAGATATAAAGGTACATATGAATTACATTTAAAAAAATCTAAACAGAAAATGCATTGCAAGGTGGGCAACTGTTGGTGAGATGTGACCTGTCAGTCATTCCTATTGGGAATCAGCCCAATGAGAGAGACTGTAGGGTCACCTCACACCATAAACCCCATTATTTTCCTTTCACAAATCAAAACCAAGTTTGCAATTCCTTTCCATTTATAAATTGCTGGGATTCCATGGGTTGATTTCCAGCTGTATAAATATGCTTTATACTGAGGCCTTAATACCCGAATCTGAAGAAGTGGGTTTATATCCACGAAAGCTCATGCTAAAATAAAAACTATTTTGTGATGCCATGAATTTTTTTCCTCCCGCTCTCTTCCTCCCTTTTACACTGCAAGACATTAACATGGCTACTTTTTTGAAAAGTCCTAATGAGTTAAAACTGGATCTCCCTATGTAAATATATCCAGGATTCCAGCTTTAAGCATCAGTGAAGAAAAAAGAAGAGAAAAAGCTTCATCGTATTTTATTTCAACAGGGAAAGAGAAGATCTTACCTGTAAGTGATGTATTTTGGATTCATTACTCCTCAGCATTTCCTTCTGTCTCTCTATTTCTATTTCAAAGCTACAAATTTGATTGTGTAAGGTTTGTATACTCTTGTTCTTTTCCAAACTTTCATTCTGGAGCATGGCCACCTGGTAACAAAAAAAGTAAAATTAATTTGCCATACTCGCAAGTAAGCAACTGTGGACTTTCCCAATCAATAGAGAAATATCCCATAAAACACTGTATACTCTGTTTTGTAAGGGCTATATCTGCTGTTGTGCAAATTTGCACAATTAACCTGACTTTTCTCATTCCCATAATCAATCTAGAATAAGTCATCTATTAATTTTGTCAAAATTTCTCCAAAACTATAGGAATCTTGCAGAGGAAATCAGACATGTGCTTCTCATGCAATATTCCTGATCTGGGGTCCTATCCACTGGGACCCCTAAAGACACAACCTACAATATCTAGTACAGTAGTTCCCAACCTTTGGTCATCCAGGTGTTTTGGACTTCATCTCCCACAATTCCTAACAGCTGGTCAGCTGTCTGGAATTTCTGGGACTTTAAGTTCAAAACAACTGGAGGACCAAATGTTGGGAACCACTGATCCAGTAGGGCAATGGTTCGCAACCTATGAGTCCCCAGATGTTTTGGTCTTCAACTTCCAGAAATCCTAACCGCTGGTAAAATGGCAGGGATTTCTGGGAGTTGTAGGCCAAAACACCTGGGGACCCATAGGTCGTGAACCAGTGTAGTAGGAGATCTGCCTTTGGACTATCTTTTTAAGAATACAGTAAGCTGAAAGTGGAAGCAAAAGACTTGTAGTGTGTGCTTGACTTCTGATTTCTCCTTCTACTTCTGCAGCATTAAATATAACTCAAGAGTACTTTCCAACTGTTCCTGAATGTGAAAATGAACTGTTTCCTCTCCAGCCCAAATTGATTAAAATCAATATGATAAAGATGGCACAGAACACTGCTTCGAACTCTAACTTATAGTTGTAGCACATTTATTTAAAATTTGTCATTTTTGGCAAACTGGTCAACTCCACTGTTCAACCTTGCTGTCCAATACAGACCTTTTTTTCATGTCAGGAGCGACCGGAGAAACTGCAAGTCGCTTCTGGTGTGAGAGAATTGGCCATCTGCAAGGATGTTGCCCAGGGGATACCCAGATGTTTGATGTTTACCATCCTTGTGGGAGGCTTCTCTCATGTCCCTCCATGGGGAGCTGGAGCTAACAGAGGGAGCTCATCCACGTTCTTCCCTGATTTGAACCTCCCACCTGTTGGTCTTCAGTCCTGCCGGCACAAGGGTTTAACCCACTGCACCACCGGGGGCTCTATATATATATAGTCAGAAGAAAGTCCTACTAAGATTCTCACTTTCAAAAAAATCAAGTTGTTTCACTCCTTTTTCCCCCCTGTGATCATGGCTGAAGCTATCGTTAAGTCTGACATTTGAATGATTTTCTAAATGAAGGAAGCCAACAGCAGACCATAATAATTTCTGTGAATGAAAGCAACACACTCAACCAAGAAGATGAAAGAAAATGGGAAATGCATTGATGATATACCCTCAAAATAAGATCAATATTTGCTTTTGTTCTCTTAAAATTCTCAGACCTCACAACAGACTATGTACTGAACCCTCAAAGAACATTCATCACATGGAATCCACTCTAATGATAGTTTCATTTGTCACTGTTTATTATTCCTTAAAACATCTCATACTCGGAACACTGCCCTCTTCTCCTGGAAGAGTTTGTACAACACAGTCGCCGTTCATCTAAAAATGTAAAGAAAATAGCTAGAGAGGATGCTCTGGCACCCAAAATAATAGAACAGAATCCCATCTAAAAACAGGAAACACTTATTCGAAGAACCTGACCACAATGCTGTCTATCAATAACTATAGTTTCAATGGTTTTGAATGGAATACAGAATAAAATGTTCTACGCTAAGATGAGAGGGTTAAATTCTTTGATATTGGTTAGACTTTTATGTTGTGCTGAAGTCTCAAGCATACCAAAACAGTATTTGAGTGTTTGTGCGCTTTCTTACAGAATGCTTATGCCTTAAGGTACAGAAGAATGAAATTTCAAGCACCCAAGAGACCAGGATCCTAGAATAAGCGTCTGTTTCAAACACAGCAAATATCTCCACAAAAGGAGATTAGATATTTCTCCACGGTATCAGGAGCAGCACAGCCTACAAGAGCTCTTCCACTGATCTTGGCTCTAAGAGACCCAAACAAACCCAAAAGGGGTCTAATTACATCTTTAATACTATCACACTTATTTAAGAGCAAGGTTGCATCCAGAAGTGCTAGAAAAAACCAAATCCAAATGTAGGAGGTAAGGAAACTATCGCACAAACTAGTTTTCTTTTCATTTTTGCAGGTGTAGGGACCCTTGCCCATTCTAGAAGTAAACATCTGAGCATACACTGTTGGAAATAGCAACCTTCTCAAGCCTCCACTAGTTATTTTCATGTATAAAATTGCTTACTGTATGTATTGGTTTGCAGTTTTCTTTAACCTCTCTGTTGTGAGAGGGGCTGCAGACCATGTGACCAAAACTGGGCATGATCAGGACTCAGACTCCATTTTAAAACAGTTTGCTTTGGGAAGCTCGCAGGAACAGTGATGCCTTTATTTAGACTTCAATGCAGGAACTGTATGCTTGAAGACTAGACAAAAACTCTATTAGACTCTCAAAACAGAGAGATGCTTTGGACTATGGGCTATTGAGTCTACAAATGATGCCCTGTGTTATCTACACAGAGAGACTACTTCAAATATTCTTGTAACTGGATTGATAAGCAAAGCACCTGTATGCTGAATATATGAAGTTTGTGAGTAAACCAACTATGTTACTTTTAAAGAAGTCTCCTTATTTGTGTTTCTTGAGAGCATGATTTTAAGGGAGAGTAGATGTTTTTAGGCAACTAAAAAGAACACCTCTGGAACTCTGCTGTATGTGTGTGTATATATAGAGTCATAACCATTTTGGGAAAATGGAATTAACCATTTATGTATGTATGTATATGTGTGTATGAATGTGTGTATATATGCATGTGTGTGTGTATACGTGTGTGTGTGTGTGTGTCTATATATATATGTCTCTCTCTCTCTCTCTCTATATATATATATATATATGTTGCTGAATGCCATTTTCCCAAAAAGGTTATGACTCTAACAGGTCATGCTTTTTACCAAGAGGTTAAGGAATCATTTTTCAAAAGGTTGTGACTTCTAACAAGGTCATGCCGTTCCAGAGATAATAAAATCTCCAAAAAGGTTATGGAGATTTCCATTTTCCAAAAGGTCATGTGACTAATGGTTTTCCAAAAAAACAGCACCATAATACTGGTTCCTTTCCTACAGCAATATAGTTCTGGTTCTTATTTTAATATTTCAACTATTTCACTGGACAGACTGTCTATTGCAGTAGTGTGTTAAATTCCACTAGTAATTCAAAAGACTATTACTACAACCAGACCCAAAAAAACTCCACATATCACTTCAGGTTTCATAAAATGCTGTATGTCAGCCAAAAAGAAACCTTTTTCATCACTTAGCAGGTTTTATTAGAAATGAGAACATGGTTCAGAATACGAATTGTCATCATTAATATTTGGAAAGTGCACCTGTCCTAATTATCACTGGCACACATAAAACGCCTTCCAAAAAATTCCACCAGTTTAATCAATATTTCTGAAGAGGCGACTGTAGATGAAGATTTTATGCACTACTTGGTGATAACTCTGGGACTATTTAAAGGGGGAAAAACTCCACAACACAAATCTATGATCAGACTGGTAGCACTTTAACTGTCATGGCTTCCCCCAAAGAAACTTGAGGATGGTAGATGGATGAGTATGATAAGAACCTTGTCTGAGAGCTACAGCCATGCTCACAGAGCTGGATTACACAGCTCACAAAAGTACAGTCTGCTGGGAACAGGAATGGCGGTTAAATCCTGCAGGGTTGAAACAGCTCAAACTTCCTTTAGACTAATCTTCTCACGAGCTTAACGAGACATTAAACAGAGATAATATCCACCACAATTAATTTTATCATCTTAAGATATATCATGAACAATTAGCTGAAACAGTCCCTTATGATTGCCAATATTTCAACTGAGACAAGATAAATGTCGGGAATGAAAACAGCAGTGTTCTTAATTTCGGGTGCATCTACACTGTAGAATTAATGCAGTCTGGCACCATTTTAACTGCCATTGTGCAGTGCTATGGGATCTGTAATTTGATGAGGCACCAGCACTATCTGACAGGCTAAAAACCTTGTAAAACTACAATGCCCAGAATATCATAGCACTGAGCCATGGCAGTTTAAGTGGTGTCAAACTGTATTATTTCTATAGCAGACATGCAAAGAGTATTACTGTTTCTTGCATAGCAGTCAACAGAAATCTTACACACAGTTATTCATATATACAGAATTACAGTTTCCTGGGTGCTTGTTAAACTCTCCATTTGCATTAAGATAATCAAACCTCCCACCAACACAAAAAAGGCTTCTCTGTACAATGGTGAATGCAGTGATATATGACTATGTTTCCAACAGCAGTCAGCTGGGCAGCATGAAGGAGTGAATGGGATCAATGTGCAATAGGATTTCACCATGCAGGAAGGGGAGGTTTAAGGCAACATAGCTCTGAATTCGTGTGTTTGGGGGGAGGAATCTGTGATGATAAAAATAAAATAAAAAGAGGATTGTGGAGGTGAAGGAAAAGGTTGTGAGTAGTAGTTATAACAACATAACCCTTACATTAAGACAAAACATATCTACCATGTGGATGAGGCTTTTTCAGGATCCAATTGAGAAAGAGCATGTTATGAAGTTAGAACATAAATCAGCTATGTGTTCAAGATGAAGATGCCACTGACTAATGAAAAACCATTCGAATACTAATTATTTTAAAAAGATGATGCTGTTTTAGGATTTCTTTGTTAAAATCACGGATCCAAAATGATTTAGTTGCTTTTGGAAACTGAGAAGCATTTCAGTAGCAATTCCAAACTCTCACCCGTTTCAAAAATCATGAATGTAATGAAAGAATAAGGTGAGTTAGGAAATGTACCTTATTTTCTAGACAATTACTCCACTCTTTCAATAAGTCTACATGCTGCACTGCTGAGCTGGTTTCGTGTGCTTTAACTTGCTGGTTTGTTCCCTGTGACAAAGAATATATTTTAGCCAACTTTATTTCTCAAGCAAACCTATACAAAAAAAACAGCAAACCACCCTCCAAAAAGCAGTATTATACATTTGACCCATGCATTTTTTAAAAACCCTGTAGTGTTATAAAATATTATTATACTAACAGTAGTAATAAAGGTTGAGTATCCCCTATCCAAAATGACTGGTATCAGAAGTGTTCCATATTTCAGATTTTAGAATATCATTATTTGCATATGCATACAAAATCTTGGAGATGGGACCCAAGTCTAAATAATAATAATAATTCATGCTTTGTTTACCCCTTATTACACACAGCTAGGAGGTAATTGTATACAATATTTCTAAACCGCCCTGAGTCCCCTTGAGGGTGAGAGGGTGGGTTATAAATAAAGTTTTGTTGTTGTTGTTGTTGTTGTTGTTGTTATTGCTATATTTTAATAATTATGTGCATTAAATAACTTTTGCAAACACTGAAACATCAGAAAGCAAAGGTATCCCTATCTCAGTCACCCATGTGGACAATTTTGGGTTTTGTTTTTCAAATTCTCAGGTAAGGGATGCTCAACCTATAGTACTAGTAAAAACACCAACAAGACACTTTAATATCAGAAGCCACATCCAATTAAAGCATATATGAGATTTATTTACGGGTTGATTTACCAACCTTCTGCTATCTGCTCTCACTAGGACTAATAGTTAAACTTAGCCTCAGAGTTCTAATAAGTGTAAGTAAAATCATTCCTCGTGTATTCCTTTAGAAAAAGCAACAAGCCAAAGTATATTTCTTTTCACTATAAACTGTGTTTCTGGACCATCTCTTAATTAATTCAAGGACAAGAAGAGAGACATCACCACGGACAAGGGTCAATCCACTCCACCTTTGTCCTGAAACGAATCCCTATGTATTTCCATAACTGGAGCATTTTAGATAAACACAATTACAATCTCCTGCCTATTCTACAGTGCTGAGTATTTATTCAAACAGCAGTGGATCACTTATCCCATTATTAACCTTTCCTCTCTCCTAGACCACTGCTTCGTAACTGTGGGTTCTGAAACCAAAAGAGGTTTCAATAGATCAGTGGTTCCCAACCAGTGATCCACAAGAACTAAAATACGGTCTGCAGTCTCACCGTTGCAACAAGAGTGCCTGGTCTCGCGAAACCCCCTCATAGTGCCAAGGCTTATTAAATATTGTTTTCTGTGGGCAAGCAAGTGGCAACTACTGAATGGCATTTGTTCTGTATCAGAAACTAGAGCTGATGTGGTCTATCCAGTGCAATTTTCTGAATCAGCACCCCAAATAACCAAACCGAGTCTAAACTGTACTATAGAAGCTTTCATAGCCAGAATCACTGGACTGCTCTAAGAACCGCATTGAGTCGCCGCCTCAGGCTGATATATGCGGTATACAAATAGAGTAAATAAATAAATAAATAAATTTTTCAGGCTGTATGGCCATGTTCCAGAAGCATTATCTCCTGATGTTTCACCTGCATCTATGGTAGGCAACCTCAGAGGTTCTGAGGTCTGTTGGAAACTAGGAAATTGGAGTTTATCTGTCTGTGGAATGTCCAGGGTGGGAGAAAGAACTCTTGTCTATTGGAGTTAGGTGTGAATGTTTCAATTGGCCACCTTGATTAGCATTTAATGGCCTAGCAGTTTTCAAGGTGTGGCTTCTTACTTCATTACTCCTCACAACCTCTGAGGATGCTTGCCATAGATGCAGGCAAAATGTCAGGAGAGAATACTTCTGGAACATGGCCATACAGCCCGAAAAACTTACAGCAACCCAGCAAATCTAAACTGATTTGTAACCTAACCTTTTGGTACGAATGTTGGAGATTGGTTCCTGGTCAAGGTGGTCCCTGGTCAAAAAAAGGTTGGGAACCGCTGTCCTAGATCAATGTTTGGGTTGTGAAAAATTTGGCAACAGTAAAGGGTTTCTGAGTACCAGCCATTTACACAAATCTGTTCACAACAATAAGCACTGTTTACAGTGGACTCTGCAGAAAATGCTTCAGCTGTACTCCATAAAAAGGACAATCGGTCCGTTTAGCAAGCCCTGCAAATGCATATTGATTATAAGTAAATGACCGATTTATATACCTACATACCTGCGGTCATGTGAAAATATTTTGGGTAAAAAGGGATTGCAAGTGGACCAAGATTAAGAAACCCTGTCCTAAACTACTCATCATGTCAGCGATACATTCTTATCTCCCTTTGCAGGAACTATGAAGATAAAATTATGCAGCCCACCATAAGGTCAATCCCTGTGTGACATAGCCCTCTTCTATCTTCATTCTGATTGAGCTCTCTTCTATATTTATGCTCGGTATGGTGGAAATCAAAATGTTTCTCTCCCTCGCTATAGTGGAATATGGAGCTATCCAATGAAGCTGACTGGCAGGAGATTCAGGACAAAGGAAGCACTTTTTAAAGATAACACATAGGTAGAATTCATTGTCAGAAGATGTACTGATGGCCCTCATCTTAAAACAGCCTTTGAAGGAAGATTGGGAGATTTATCATTCATAAAGGATAAAGCTACCGATAGCTGCATGTTACCTCTGGGAGAAACTCCTAGGGAAGTGAGAAGGCACTATAAAATTGCCTTTGTGATTTGATTCAAGATTTCCTAGAGATACCTAGGTACCTGACTACGTTGAGAATACAATTTTGGATCAGTATAACAGAGGGTCAAATGAGATAAGACTTTAAAGGCACAGCCTACATTTACCTATTTTCAATCAAGACTGGGACTCAAGCATAACAAAACCATTGGTGTTGTTTCATGTTGTCCATTGCTCCAGTCCCAATCCCGACTGGAGAGGAGGCTGGGTGGGGTATGTCTGAAATAACAATCTATTTAAAGGAATTGGTTTTTTTTAAAGGCAATAACATGTGCAAGGACAGGGAATTAAACCCAGACTGGGATCGTAGCGGGGAGAGAAGATTTAGGCCACTGCTCTGTACACTAAGGTCCCAATACAGGTGACTACGATCTGTATAATTAGTGTTAAAAGGTCACATTGATTTTTACTACTATCTTGCTTCATGAGTATCAAGAAACAGTAATTTCTGTATTGGTGTGAGTTTTCCTGGCTGTATGACCATGTTCCGGAAGCATTATCTCCTGACATTTTGCCCGTATCTATGGCAAGCATCCTCAGAGGTTGTGAGGTCTGTTGGAAACGAGGCAAGAGGGGATTATATTATCTGTGGATTGTAGAAAGAATCAGGGCCAGTTAATGCCTCCCAACAAAGGATTCCCCCAGGCAGGAAGAAGCCAGGCTTTGAAGCTGCAAGGCTATTCAATGCTAATCAAGCTGACCAATTGCAACACTCACACTTGCCTCCAACAGACAAGAGTTCTTTCTCCCACCCTGGACATTCCACAGATATATAAACCCCACTTGCCTAGTTTCCAACAGACCTTGCAACCTGGTAACCACAGGTAGGTGCCTGAGGAATCACTGAGCCTCCTACTTTTCTGCACCCGTCTCTTTTGTCTCATCTCTAAGTGACTTGTGTAGACATAGAGCTTCATCATTCCTACCTTGTTTCATCCTGAATAATAATAATAATAATAATAATAATAATAATAGATATCTAATAATAATGATAATAATAATAGACACTTGGGAAGTGTTCGACTTGTGATTTTTTTGATAAGAAATCCAGCATATAGATCTCGTTTGCTGTGACATACTGTGCTTTTGTGTCAGTAAAATAATAATAATAATAATAATAATAATAATAATAATAATCTTTATTTATATTCCGCTCTATCTCCCCAAAGGGACTCAGGGCCACCACCTTTCAAGACATACCTGCTCTACAAAGCCAGGCTGGCAGTGACCCTAACATCACCACTCCTTGCAGCCCCAACAACTTCGTAATCCAGTGGCAAAGCTGTTGGTCATGGCCAAGTCTCATATGCCTGTCTTAGCGGAGCTGCAGTAGTGCAATGGGTGAAACCCTTGTGCCAGCTGAACTAAGAATGCCTGCCATAGATGTGGGCAAAACGCCAGGAGAGAATGCTTCTGCAACATGGCCATACAGCACAGAAAACTCATAGCAACCCAGTTGATTCTGGTCATGAAAGCCTTTGACAACACAACAGCAATTTCTTTTGCCGTTTCTGTATTTCAGCCTGTGGTTGGTTAAATCCACGGATCCTAAGGGTTCACCACTGTAGTTACTTTTGACACATTATTTCCAAGCTCTGTTATACAGCAAGAACAAAAGAAAAGAGGCATAGCTGCTGGCGGAGTCTTTGAAGTATAGCCTACTTTGACTCTCAAGATGCCGCATTCTATGCAAGACATAGTAATAGCAGAGACACTAGCTGGGATATTTATGGCTGGAAAAGGATAAGCCCAAGGAGGAACACATTCTTTATTAATCCACGAGAAGTACAATTTGGTGGATTAAATCTTAGCATTTTCAAATAAGTGTTTAAGATGCCCATGATTGATGCTTTTAGATGATACTTCCTGGGAATCTAGCTTGGAAATGGAAGCAGTTTCAACAGATAGCAAAATTTCTGACTGTATAGATATTCTGCAGAATACTTCATTTTAATGCTTGTTCTGTAAACAATAAACCTTACATCAGTGTAACTACTACACATAATTACACACAGAACAATTAATATGCAGAGTATGTACAACAAAGACTCAATCTATAGTTCATTTTCATCATACTAGCCAAAACAAAGTACATGCAAACTAAGTTGCAAATCATTATTTTCACGGTCTTCGGTATATATATACTCTGGATAATCTAGTCAAATTATATAGACCCACAAACACATAAATTCAAATACACAACACAAAAATCATGAACGGTGATAAGGTAACAGCAAGCAGCGCTAACAAGACAAGACTGTTCCTACGATCTAGAGCAGTGTTTCTCAACCATCCTAATACTGTGACCCCTTAATGCAGTTAGTTCCTCATGTTGTGGTGACCCCCAACCATAAAATTATCTTCGTTGCTACTTCATAACTGTCATTTTGCTACTGTTAGGAATCATAATGTAAATATCAGAAATGCAGGATGTATTTTCATTCACTGGACCAAATTTGGCACAAATGCCCGATATGCTCAAATTTGAATACTGGTGGGGTTGAAGGGGGGATTGATTTTGTCATTTGGGAGTTGGAGTTGCTGGGATTTATAGTTAGCCTACAGTCAAAGAGCATACTGAACTCCACTAATGATGGAATTGCACCCAACCTGGCACACAGAACTCCCATGACCAACAGCAAATATTGGAAGAGTTTGGTGGGCATTCACCTTGAATTTTGGAGTTGTAGTTCACCTACCTCCAGAAAACAATGGACTCAAACAATGGACTCAAACAATGATGGATCTGGACCAAACCTGGCACGAATAATCAATATGCCCCAATGTGAACACTGGTGGAGTTTGGGGAAAATAGACCTTGACATTTGGGAGTTGTAGTTGCTGGGATTTATAGTTCACCTACAATCAAAGAGCATTCTGAACCCCACCAACAATTGAATTGGGCCAAACTTCCCACACAGAATCCCCATGACCAACAGAATATACTGGTTTTTTTATGGTCTTTGGTGACCTCTCTGACACCCCCTCGTGACCCCCCCCAAGGGTCCCGACCCCCAGGTTGAGAAACACTGATCTAGAGCGTGGTGTGTGTGCACTCAAATGGCAGAATGCACTTTGGTATGTGTTTGTTAATTCACTAAATTCCCATTGACATCAGACATAAAGAATCCCTTGGAGGAAAAGAGTTTATACAGAGTGTTCCTTGCTGATTTTGCAGCATACTATACTATAAATACAGAATAGCTTTAGAGCCACAAAAATTGCACTTTTGGGCAGGTCTTGAAGATGCCTACTGCCAGAAGTCATGTTTTTTTTTTTAGGAGGGTGGGGATAGACATGGACACACAAAGGGATTTCATAGGCTTGTCCTTTTTATTGTTAAGGCTGTTTTAAATGCAAATAAACAAACAATCATGGCTGCAATTCAAAATGGTACTTAAGAAATACTGCTTTAGCACCCTTCTTAAAACAAGAACAGCTCTTTCTGCATATCCTGATAATGATGTCAAACACTTGCTGAGTTTTCTCAACCTCAGTGGTTCTCATCCTGTGGGTCCCCAGATGTTTTGGCCTTCAACTCCCAGAAATCCTAACAACTGGTAAATTGGCTGGGATTTCTGGGAGTTGTAGGCCAAAAATCCTGGGGACTCACAGGTTGAGAACCACTACATCTGAAAGTCAGATATTGAAAAGAAACACTGGAAGGAAAAAAAGTTATGCATATAAGGGAGAACAACCTAATTTAAATAATGCCCTACATGTATTTTGGCTTGATAACTTTGTGTGTTTGTATAGGTGTGGACAGCTTTACCCTTTCCTAACACATTAAACCAGAACCCACTGGCATGGAAGGAGTAAAGTCCTTTATTCTGACAGGGCAATTGAAGGATCTGAGGTCATCAATGCTATTTTCTAGTAATCTCTTATTTCCTAACATAGAGTCTTAGGACAGGCATGAAACTTGGCCAGGACCTGCAGCTTTGCCACTAAATTACAAGATTGTTGGGGCTGCAAGGAATGGCTCACTGCCAGCCTGGCTTTATAGAGCACTTAAGTCTTTAAAGGTGGTGGCCTATGAGTAAGGTTCAGGATGAAACAAGGTAGGAATGATGAAGCTCTATGTCTACACAAGTCACTTAGAGATGAGACACAAGAGATGGATGCAGAAAAGTAGGAGACTCATTGATTCTTCAGGTCCTCGCCTGTGGTCACCAGTGTTAGAAGTGAAGAATACCCTGCCTCTTCTAGATTTCCCTAAAGCAGTGGCTCTCAACCTGTGGATCCACAGATGTTTTGCCCTACAACTCCCAGAAATCCCAGGCAGTTTACCAGCTGTTAGGATTTCTGGGAGCTGAAGGCCAAAGCATCTGGGGGTCCAAAGGTTGAGAACCACTGCCTCAAAGGGACATTCTCCTTACTAGATTGCACACTATTGTCCTGCTTTGCTAATTTAGTATATGTCATTCAACAACTGGATTTTCTTGGTTTTAACCCCAGTTTCCATATAGTTTTCTCTGCAAGTGCCACTCTGTCATCAGCCTTGGAGCTGAAGGTTAAAGCTGGACCCAGGGCAGAGGATTCATTTGCAACCCATGATAGCATGTTTCCTTCAATAATCACTGCTGTGACTCCTGCAGAGTGGTGCTTACCACTACGGTGTTTGGACAGGTTTGCATTAAGACTATTACAGGACCCATCTTAGGCTAACATATTGAACTTCCATGAACACAACCCACTAAAACAGCCTTTCTGAGCATCTCTACCCTTGGAATAGTTTTGAGGACAATGCAATCACACGCTTTTATAGTGACCCTCAACCTGTGGGTCCCCAGGTGTTTTGGCCTACAACTCCCAGAAATCCCAGCCTGTTTACCAGCTGTTATGACTTCTGGAAGTTGAAGGCCAAAACATCTGGGGACCCACAGATTGAGAATCACTGCTGTAACAGAACCCCAGAACTCCAAAGAATATTGACTAAAGAGTAAATGCATGCATATACCCCAGTAAAATGCATTGTAACAGAGTACGTTCAACAACAGTTTTTAGTGGCTGACTGTACACAAGCAGCAAGGCCTATAGGTTCCTTCACAGAACAAAAATAATACAATGGAAACATCTGAAATAACCACAGTCTCCCTTCTTGAGGGGTTAAAATGGTTTTTCTTATTTCAAATTAAATAAATTGGTTTCGTTATGAGAGAGACTACAAAATCCCGAAACATCACTAGCATGTTCCAAGCACATTCTCAGAAACATGCTTCTTCACACATTTAAGTATTTCAGGTCAAAAAGAGTAAAATAAAATAAATCAATCCACAGTTTTAAATAACTTAAGTAACTGGATGTATTCCTCTTAAAGGATAAGAAGAGACATCGTGTCCAGCGCAAGATAGCTATTAATAATATTCATTTTTCGCATTGCAGAATTTCATCAAGTATATAAATCATTATATACTGACCTGAAAAGTGCAGCCATAACGCTTAAAACTACAGGTACTTGGGGCATTAATACATTCTGACAAATGGGCATTCAACTGCAACAGGAAAAAAATGTGAGTTTTTTTAAAATGGTAAATGTATGCACAATAAGGTTCAAAAATATATGACACACCATACAGATGTGCATCATGGTGTTTGTTTTTGTTTTAGCTTTCATTTTAAAAACAGGTTTTCATATTATCTCCAGTTTTATTTGAGGGTACACACATACACAGGTGAGCACATGAACATTCCCATAGAAAGAATATGCAAAGTGACACATTTACAGTGAAACCTCATATCATCATTTTTGATCTGTTTCAAACGGATTTTAAGTATGCTTCTCACGCAGCTTTGATTTCAGATAAAAGACCAATTTTTCAAAAGGGACACTCGTCATGGCTCACTGAACCAACCACTTTTGATAATGGCTTCACTGTATAATGCACTTTCCCCCCTCCAATAAACATTCCAAATTTTAAAATCCAGGACAGATTTTCCCCCCGCAAACATCATCATGCAAAATTCCCAGTGATAACAATATAGAACAGAACAGACTCTTAGAACAGATATTGCATGAAACAAACAGATCCCAGATTTATTAAAGCAGCACGCAGAAATAAGTGTTACTTCAGCAGCAGAAAGTTCTTTCATACTTGCCATTCTGAGAATTAAGCTAGCTTTGGGTTAGACCATAGCAAATTATTGACAGACCGGAAGAGGAAAAATGCCAAGGAATAGATAGAGGAAATTATGGTTCTCATCCTTCCAGAAAACACTCTGGGATTTCTAAGTGTAATGACTGAATGTTGCCTATTTCAAAGCCTGGGGAGCATTCATGTTTGTATATACTACATGGAGTTTTTGAACTTTCATAGGTCATAGGCTCACAATTGCTGGTTCTATTATGACTAGGTGATCTGCCATGGCATTTCCTATGATATTTTTGAAGGTCTGGACAGGATAATACAATGGCCAATGTCCAGAGGAGGGTGACTAAAATGATCAAGGGTCTGGAGAACAAGCCCTATGAGGAGTGGCTTAAGGAGCTGGGCATGTTTAGCCTGAAGAAGAGAAGGCTGAGAGGAGATATGATAGCCATGTATAAATATGTGAGAGGAAGCCACAGGGAGGAGGGAGCAAGCTTGTTTTCTGCTTCCTTGGAGACTAGGACGCGGAACAATGGCTTCAAACTACAAGAGAGGAGATTCCATCTGAACACGAGGAATAACTTCCTGACTGTGAGAGCGTTCAGCAGTGGAACTCACTGCCCCGGAGTGTGGTGGAGGCTCCTTCTTTAGAAGCTTTTAAACAGAGACTGGATGGCCATCTGTCAGGGGTGATTTGAATGCAATATTCCTGCTTCTTGGCAGGGGGTTGGACTGGATGGCCCATGAGGTCTCTTCCAACTCTTTGATTCTATGATTTTAAGGGCAGATTGGCCCAAGACAATACTAGCGCTGTTCCCTTACGACAGAATGATCCACGATTTAAAATCATAGAGTTGGAAGAGACCTCGTAGGCCATCCAGTCCAACCTCCTGCTAAGAAGCAGGAAAATCGCATTCAAAGCACTCCCAACAGATGGCCATCCAGTCTCTGTTTAAAAGCCTCCAAAGAAGGAGCCTCCACCACACTCCGGACAGAGAGTTCCACTGCTGAGCAGTTCTAACAGTCAGGAAGTTCTTCCTAATGTTCAGGTGGAATCTCCTTTGCTGTAGTTTGAAGCCATTGTTCCACATCCTAGTCTCCAGAGCAGCAGAAAACAAGCCTCTTCCCTATGACTTCCTTCCCCTCACATATTTATACATGGCCCTCATCATGTCTCCTCTCAGCCTTCTCTCCTGCAGGCTAAACATGCCCAGTTCTTTAAGCTGCTCCTCATAGGGCTTGTTCTTTAGACTCTTGATTATTTTAGTCACCCTCCTCTGGACACATTCCAGCTTGCCAACATCACTCTTACATTGTGGTGCCCAGAATCGGGCAGAGTATTCTAGGTGTTGTCCTACCAAGGTAATTATCCATGTTTTGTATCAAAATCTGTAATTCTGGTCCCAAAATCTTCACTCCATTTATACAACAGGTTAACTTCTACATGAGTACATATGGTAAATCTACTATTCCAAGGCTACACAATTAAATAACACATTCTTTAGAAAAGAAACGTGCGTTCAGTCTGAGCATTCACAAATTTTCTTGCCAGCTCACTGGGGGAAATACTCATCCATCCTGTTGCAAAACAAGGTATCGAGTAGCTGATAAGCTCCCCTTTCTAGTTCTCTCATAGTTGCTTAGGGACTCAAAGGAAGGTAAGCAATAGCATGACATTTTTCAAAGCATTGGAAGACCTCCCTGCTGTATCTTAGCTCCACCAAGCTCCAGCACAAATCTGAGATCATACTGCACATCCCCTAAACTTCTGGCACTTTCTCCATGGAATAACCCTTGACTTATCCACAGGCCAGATCAAAATCCATAATTTTGGTTCCCAAACCTTCCCTTGAATTATATAGGAGGTCAACATACAGAAGTATATTGGGTATTAGTCAGATTTTGTCTAACACTGTATTTCAAAAACATCTAACTAGCATCTTTCATGGTCTTCTTCTCAACCTCCAAACCACGGTAATTGTTAAAAGCAGCAAAGTACATGCCTCTAAATATACCAGAAATCAAATTTAGTCCCAATAAACTTCATTCCTGTTGTTTTCACTAGCTTTGCTGATATCTTTCCCAAACACATGTGCATGATATGGTCAAATACGGTGGAACTACAAAGGAGAATTAGTGAGCAGGACAATGGAATATTTAACCCTTCCTTTCATTTCCCCCAAAGGTATTTTTTCCACTCATCCAGGCTTATTTTCAGGGGTGTGGTAGGGAAAATAATACTTGGATATGAGTTGAAAACAGAAAAATGGCTTAGCTCAGTGGTTCTCAACCTGTGGGTCTCCAGATGTTTTGACCTTCAACTCCCAGAAATCCTAACAGCTTGTAAACTGGTTGGGATTTCTGGGAGTTGTAAACCAAAACACCTGGGGGCTCACAGGTTGAGAACCACTGGCCTAATTAGCTACATTTCAAACTCTCCAATTTTCCCATGACAATATTCCTAATAATAAACATGTTATATGGACATGGATGTGTCTTAGCTTTCCTCCCAGTGAAAACAGTTCCACAGATCAAACAAATGGCTGCAGGGATTGTGTTGTGCACACTAAGTTGCTGTTGTGACTTTAAGTTGACCCTGGCATATGGTGCCACTGTCATATGATTTTCTTAACCAGGTCAGTTAAGAGGTCTGCCATTGCTTTTGTTTAATGCAGAGGTCACCCAATAGGTTTCCATGGCTGAATACGGATTTGAACCCTGGCTTCATGGAGTCTTAGTCTGGCACTCAAACCATTGCATCACAGGGGCTCTCTGGTCATATTGCTTCTCACTGTGTATATTACAACAGACACAAAACACCTTATAATGGCATTAAAAAAACAACACAGTGCACTCCCAAGTTCAACTAGAATACTGACAATTATGAACTCTGTTGTTCGCATCTGTCTATTTAATGTTTTAAAGGCTCTCAAACCACAAATTAAGTGCACTGCAGTGATGCCTTAGACTTCCTAACTGCTCTAAATTGTTACCTAGATGCTGCTAGGATCATAAGGTTCCTATCATTTCCTCTTTGATACTGCAATAAGGAAACATTTTAATTTTAGCTTTCAGTAAGATTGAAGGGAGAAAAAAATGTACGCCATCTTTAAAAGATTGTTTTGGTTTTATAAATCTAATACAATTCCAACACTTCATAACATACTGGGCATTGATCTCAGCAGTCAAAATATTTCTTTTGCTTGTTTCTCAAAGAGGTTAGAGGTATTTCTGGCAAAATTCTCATCAAGCATTGCTAAGAAGAACATTCAAAACTGAGTAATATAGGGTATTTTAATATGAATGACTTTGCAACATGATCGCTTACCTCTTTTCTCAGGAGTGCCGAAACACTGCATTTATGAGGACAGGTAACCATAACACAAGGGCAGTCTGCATCTTCATGTTTCTAAGGCACAGGAAAATACCACATCACATCGTCTGAAAGTCCATAACACTTTCAAGAGATAATGTTAAAAGAATTCCACTTCATAATCTGCATCTCGGTGGGGTTAGGAAATTTCTTAAGAATCAAATATATAATCACAAAAACACACTATCTTCCTGCAGATATTCATCTATAGAGGATGACTGCAGGAAATAAAAAACATAATTGTCCAAAGGCAACCTTGCTTTCATGTCTAGTTGATAGATCTCCATTATTTGAAGTTTCAAGCTACATTTTTCATAATTTGCACAGAGCCTATACAAAATACATTGAGTTTTGAATAAGGCATCTCCAAGAGCTCCCTGCAATGGCATGAAATACTTTGAAGTTGTGTTCAAATGTAGTCTTTCTCTATTAACTGCTTTGCCAGGAGAAAAAAGGGAGTTCTACAATGGGATTTAGACAGCGTTGTTTTACTTTTCTAACCTTTCTGTGTTTTTCCACTGATATTTTTATCTTTATTGATGCATTCTCTATTTCAAAAGCCTATTTAACAAATAATAAATATGCATAGTACTAAGAAATCTAAAGATATATATGCTGGACACTTGACAACTGGAAAGAGCTCCATGTACTAAGAGTTTTCTATCTGTCATAATGCAGCTATGAGAACGCCATGTAATCATGGAACTAATCATAATTGTTATATTATCTTATTAGCAAAAAAGCCTTGACACTCCTTAACATAATGGGTTGTATCCCGTAGAATTCTAGGCAAAGACTCCAAATTCAATTTTGCTCAGGTTCTCATTTTTTCCACCATGAAGTTCATTTATTTTGTGTCAAAAGCATTCCATAAATAAATAAGTTTAAAACTGATAAAATGAAGGGATCACAAGCAGCTAAATTGTTTTAGACCAAAAATAGGCAACAGCGACTACATAGTCTGTAGCTTTAAACAGTTCTTCCTCTGTGTATGAGGCAGGGCATTGTGGACAAGCATACAGATGCTTAGTTGTCTGTTTTGCTCCACAGTCACACACAAGGTTTGCCACGAAGTTGTCTCTGCCTTATCCTTTGCTGATGGCTTTTTTTAAAAAAGATACATTTGAAAATGTATGAATTTAGGGTTTTGTTGTTGCACACCTACAAGTCATTTCCAACCTATGGCAAGGGCAATCCTAAAGGTTTTCATGGCAAGAATTGTTCAGAAAAGGTCTGCCACTACCTTCCCCCTGAGGCTGAGAGACTGTGACCAGTTTAAGGTCACCCATTGGGTTTCATGGTTGAATTGAGGTTCAAAAGGAAGGCATCCAGAGTCACAGCCCCTGCACTCAAGCTATTATATCACACCGAATCAAGAATTTTTGTAACTTTTTTCCAAATGAGCCCATCTTTGTGTGCATTTTTCACAACATACGTATTTCTGTACGTTTTTTCCCAAATGACACCACAAATACCTGGGGGGGGGGGCATATCTGTACATGAAGTACAATTTAAGTTATGTTCACCTTGAAATGAAAACCAGATGAATTTATCCAATTGTGATGCTGGGAGAGAGATACTCTACAATACAACAAGGGCTGTAGAGGAAAACACATATTTGATAGTCTGATTTGTTTGAACACAAGAACTGGATGCAAACTACCTCTCAGGATCCTGCCGCTTCCTTTTTACTATTAAGCACATTTGCTATTCAGTAAAGACTGTGTCGCTACTCAAAGTGCCATATTAAGTGAGGGAAATCATTGAACTTACTTGTACATTCAATAAGAACAACTAACATACACAAACATAATACAGAAATGGGCAACTTCCAGGGTTGGGGGAATGCCCCCGCTCTGTGGGATCCCAGAGGGCTAAATACATGATCCTCCCAATGTTCAAAAATGACAGCCAAAGAGAGAGTATCATACTGCAGAAAGTCTCCCACGATTATTGCAGCCAGGAGGGTATTTTTTCCAAAGCTGCATGATACCTAAAGGGCTATACTTTGCCCATCATTGCCATAGAGATTTGGTAATTACGCTCTCTCCTGTTGCTAAGTTAATGTAATAGGAGCATTGAGAATGAATGCCCCAAAGTAGCATTCTTGAGAAAAATAATATATATTCCTTTAATTGAAAATTAATTTACTACTAGTTCTTCACATCACAAAGGGAATTTCCTCCTCTCCAGGGCATGCAAAGTTGAGTTAAAATAGAACACGTGCACACTCACAAACATGTCGTTTGTACAGCTTTGTTGCCAATACAACCCCTTCTGTAAGAAGGAAAATGAATGCTTGCTTTTCTTTCCGTTTTCATTTTGAGAGTCACCAAAATGATAGTCCCTCATGTGACAGAAAATACGTGGGGACTGTCTTGTGACCAAAAGGACAAGCCTCCAAGCAAGCAGCTGGCTTCCTCTAATTAAGAAGAGAACAGCCTTTCATCTGCTGAAAATATTTTGCAAAATCCAAGCAACTTTCTGGCTACATTTCCTAGATAAAGAGACACATGCTTTATGCAGCCTAATTGGTGTCGTTTAATATCTGAACTCACAAAGAGGCAACAAATAATAATAATAAATCAGCAACAAATAATGTTTTGAAGTAACAGTGTATTAAATTTGGGTTGCTTCAATCATTGTTTGTTGTTATGCTTGACCCTAGAAACCATGTGCCCTTGGGTAAGGGATTTGGGACAGATTTAAGAAAGCTGGGGTACTTAAGATCCTAAAACAGGGGAAACCCAGGCCCGCGGGCCGGATGTGGAACACACTCCCAAATGAGGTAAGATCTGCTCCCTCCCTCTTGGCTTTTAGAAAGAAATTAAAATCATGGTTTTGGGACCAGGCTTTCGGACAGTAGATGTATGTAGCACTTTAGAGGGACATCGACTGGAACGGCAATACGGCTTATGAGACTGTTTTACTGTTTTAAATAGCTGATGTATTGTTTTAATTATAACATGTTCAATTGTGGTTTTATTATTGTAATTGTTATGTAATGGCATCGTATCAGTGCCCACTGTAAGCCGTCCTGAGTCCCCCTTCGGGAGTAGAGAAGTGACGGGGTAGAAATACCAGAAACAAATAAATAAATGTGGCCCTTTGGGCTCTTTCATCCAGCGCCCTGTCTGCCTTGGCCCTCTCCTCAGTATGTGGACACGGTGGCCTGCTGCGTCCCCAGGCTGAGAGGTGGACTGAGGCAGAGACATGCAGCAAGCGCCTGAGAGATCTTTGGAGAGCTCTCTGGCAGAGGAAGTGGCTGTGGCGTGGTGCCCCCCTTCCTTCTTCCCTGCCTTCCTTCTTCCCTCCCTGGCTCTGCCTCCATCTCTGCCTTCTCCTTCTCCTTGGGAGTTGGCAGGAGAAGGAAGGAGGAAAAACAAGAAAAAGAAGAAGGGGAGTAATGCTGGCCTCCTGTCTCCGCAGCCAGCCAACAATGGATCTGCAGAGGCTTTATCCTCTCAAGTAGCTTGAGAACACTCCTTCAGAAGGAGAAGCCGCCACCGCTGCTACCGCCCTCCTCACCCACTTCTTGTCTCCCTCTCACAGTGGCCAATGGTTCCCTGCCACTGGTGCTGAGTCTCAACTTCACTCAGTTTGGAGAAGGGAGGGAAGCAAGGGAGGAACTCATGCTATTCTGGAGGGCAGCACCACTGCAGCTCCATCACTGGCTGGCCACAGGGCTGCGGGGGCCAATGTCATTCCCGGTGTCAGAACAAGAAAAGAAGGAAAACAGGGAGGGAGAGACTGAGTGTGTGTGCATGCTGCCACTCTCTCAGTTGGAAAGAGGAAAAGGGAGAGGGAAAGATAGCTTGTGTGCACCCCTATCCAGGCACAGAACGGCGGGTATGTGTGTCCCCAGGCTGAGAGGAGGGCCTAGGCATTCAAAACTCTCCCCCTGCGTGCCAACCGTAACCCTGCCTCCCCGCCCCCCCCCCCGCACCAAGTACCCCTAACACACACATACACCCAGTCCACCTGCCCCAGCTTGGTCTGCCATGCGGTCCACACCCCAAAGTTTGCCCATGCCTATTGTAGTGAAATCTACCTTTAAGGCGACCAGGCCGAAGCCTGAGAGTCAGTAGATGTCATCTTGAAAGACAGGCAGAAGCAGGAGGAGGAGTCAAGCCGACTCCTGATTGGTCAGAGCAATTAGGGGAGGAGTCGGTTGAGAGAGGGAARGAGRCTGTCWGCTYTTRACMAGGGGAGARAMGDGTCTTGACATCAGACWCAGAAGGAAGGGATTTTTAGRAKARGAAGCTARWTAGRGTTCTGACAGRGAAAGAAGAGYTTKDAMGTGAGMCTTARGGATAGGGAATAAGGTTGAGACAAGGGCTAGGGTTTTACTGTGTTGAGAGGGCCAGTAAAAGAAAGAYTTGTCTTCTTATACTTAGGGAAAGTATAAGGGAGYTTATTGCCCTGTGCGTGAGGCAGAYTGGAGTCTGTTCTCTAAGTGATACTGTTTCTAAGAATAGAGCAGTGTGTTTAAGGGAACTCACAGTATTAAAAGCTTCGYTGTCAGTGGAACTACYTGTTCAAAATAACTAAGTCTCTACAACTGAATCAAGCTGCTGTACCGCTCATTCTATGAGTAGATATTTGTTTAAAGTTAAATAAACCTTTTCTAGTTCACTGTTAACTGGTGTCAGCTTCAGTCTGTCAATCTCCTCAGAACTAAGTCCAGTCAACCAGTAAAGCAGTTMCAGAAGAACCAAGGGCAAACACAATTTACCTACAACGCACTCACACCTTTTGGTTCCTCACACCATTAAAACTGAGGTGGTGGCAGTCATACCTACCAAAAACATCGCTCATTGATATATTTAACCTATGGTCAGCTGCTAATTATTTTACACTGGTGTCAGAGGTGGGGTTCTTTGTTCCCCCCTGCCCCAGGTATCTTTGATCTTTCGTTATACTGGTGGCAGCGGTGGGATTGAAAAGTCTTCCCCCCTGCCAAAGTCAGAAAGGTCAACACGCACGCTTTGATTTTTCGTTATACTGGTGGCAGCGGTGGGATTGAAAAGTCTTCCCCCCTGCCAAAGTCAGAAAGGTCAACAAGCACGCTTTGATTTTTCGTTATACCAGTCCTAAACAGAGATCGGTTTTGACAGAAACTTTTCTGGCACAAATACATCCTCATTTCACCATAGATAGATAGACAGACAGACATGAAGGAGGAGAGAATTTGTTGTAATACGCACCTGTATCATAATAATTGGAACTTGGCTTTTACAGTATTTACATGTTGTTTCTCGGTATTTACAGGTCTTTTCTGCATGATCTGGCAAGTCTTTCCTCAGGATTTTTTCTTTACAATCAACACGAGGGCATGGTAGTTCTTCAAATAGACAATCATTTCTCAAATGTGTCTGAAACAAACATTTACCAGAGAAATGTTTTTCGTCGTTTTGTTTTAACCCCTCTGTTTTAACTATAGTAGAGTCTCGCTTATCCAACCATTGCTCATCCAACATTCTGTATTATCCTATGCAGTCTGCTTCTCACCCAGATCCACATCTGTTTCAATACATTGCGATGTTTTGGTGCTAAATTTGCAAATACAGTAATTATTACATAACATTGCCGTGTATTGAACTGCTTTTTCTGATGATTTGTTGTAAAACATGATGTTGTGGTGCTTAATTTGTACAGTGATAACACAATTTGACATTTAATAGGCTTTTCCTTAATCCCTCCTTACTATCCAACATTTTCACTTATCCAACGTCTGCCGGCCCGTTTATGTTGGATAAGTGAGACTCTATCAAATATAATTCTGGCCAAACCTATTTAAGGACAACTTGCCAACTTCCAAGAACAAGAAGCAAACAAAAGCCTTTCAAAGCACCCATTTTCCCCACATTAGCTCTTTCCAGAACACATCTATCACCATTTTAATCACATCTATCACTGGTGGTGAGGACAAGCTTAAAATATTTGTTAAGACAAAAACATATTTCAACCAAATTTTCAAACTTTTTATAAAAGAAATTGTGATGTGCTAATTCTTAACACTTCAGCATTGACTATTAAGTGAAAAGTCTCCCAAGTATTTAAGATTTTTAAAAAATGTAAATAAAAATAAATATTTATATCCCACACAATTGATAACAACACAGACAATCTTCCTATCTTCCCAGCATTCCAGTTACCATACTCTATTTTTTATGTGTAAATATATAGCTTCTTTCAACTATCCAAGGATAACCATAACATCCACCCCTGCTTTCTATTAGACATTGCACTACACTAGCTCTGGCAGAACAGACCAGAACAAAATGATAAACTGGCCTGTCTTTGGTATATTTGCATGCACTGGAGTTTGAAATTGTTCCTTCCCATTTCTACATTAGTCTCTGATTGGTTTTTCAATGCCGTTGGGTACATGTTGTAGAAAGGTGAGGGGTTTTTTTTGTCTTTTAACATTAGTTTAATCTCAAGTACACACTATGAAATGACTTTTGTGCCTTTTGATACTTTTGTAAGCAAGTATCTGCACTGGGATATTTGGAAAATTTTGATCATTACATCTAATTTACATGTAACGTAAATAGCTCACTTCCATTTCAAAATAAAGTTAAAGCCAATGAGTATATCGTAGATCTCAGATCTAACCACAGGTTATTTATTTATTTATTTATTTATTTATTTACTATACTTATACCCCACCCATCTCACCTCCCCGGGGGGGGGGGGACGGACGACAGGGGCAGCTTACAAACTATGGCAACAACTCAATGCCAAATTCAGACAATAACAATAAAACACAATATTAAAACTGTAAAAGCATATTGGTAGGTTACTCACCTGTAACCATGTTTCTTCGAGTGGTCCTCTGCGAATCCACACTTATGGAGAATCTGGGATCTGCGCAGGTGCAGATTCTCCATAAGTATGCATTCACAGAGGCCACGAAGAAAAAACAAATAAATTATAAATAATCTATCAAATTATAAAACGTTTTAAAGGTCTAGCATTTGTAAACATTAAACAGATTGGTTCATTTTCTTATACAGATTCTGTCATACTTATGGGTCATATTAATCCCCAAAGGCTTGCTTTAGATTTTTCCTGAAGCCTGAGGGGGGCACTGATGTCACTGTGGAGGGAGTTCCACAGCCATGGGGCCACTACCGAGGAGGCCCTGTCTCTCGGCCCTGTCAACCGCGCCTGTGATGGAGGCAGGAACGAGAGCAGGGCCTCCCCAGATCAGATCAGTCTGTACTGGGATCATAAAAAACTCAATTATTCAACTATCTCGATCACAGCAATAACCGGACCATGACCTGTGATGAGATGGTCTACACCAGGTAAGAGAAATCAGGAGACTGAAATGTTGGGATCACACTGATAGTGACTGTACAACTCTCATAAACATCACCAATTCCTTATTTGACTGAATATTTGTTAAGGCAAAGAATATTATGAAGATTTGGAATATTCTAAATCTCGATGTCATTTACTGCTTTACATATTCCAACCTTCATTATCTTTGCTGGTTAGTATAATGTCTACCTCTGAATCAGGTAGCAAAAAACAACAAAAAAGCATCCCATTCTGTAAAATGAGGAAGCTACCACTGATTATCAAAATACTCACAAGTAATTGTCCCAAGGTCAGTTGTTCTCTGCAACCTTTATTTTCATTTCTGCAGAATATCTGAAGAGCAAGAAGCTCCCTCCGACAGCAATTATCTTTAAATATCTAGAATTAAGAAACATTCAACAAGAGTTATAGCAAAGGGTCAACTCTTTACGCCAATGCTGTCTGGTATATTGCAAAGACTGCATTATTGCTAAGTTGCTTACTAAACTTACTTGTTCTTTTAGGGCTTTATAAAAACACATATTCACAAGAAATAAGTATTTTAGAACAATCTAAGAGTATCTGCTAATTCCAGTTCTTGGTGCAGTTGTTGCTGCTGTTGTCACCACAAGATGACAGGCCATAAATCATCTCAACAAAAACCTCTTGATTTCTGCAAACACAGCAAGATGACAAGTATTGCTATGATGTCTGATATAGCTTGGGCGGAATACATTTTTATTTACGTCATGTTCTGTGCTATGTCTACACAAAGAGTGAAGATTGCCTGCATTTTAAGCATTCTTTGCTCTGCTGATACTATTAGCTTTTTTTATTAGCAATATAAAAGTGCAAGCAGCTAATGCACAAAAAGGCGCGAGCTTCATTTTAGAGTGAATATGAAGCCATAATTCTTTAACAGTGCTTCCAAGAAATCAATGGAAGGAAAGGATCTAATATCACAAATACAAAAGCCTGCTATTGACCATGTTCTATGAGACTCTCAGTTATTAAAGCAGACCAAGTGTACAACGTAGCATTAATACTACTGGCTGATATCACTCCATACTGCATTTTATAACATAACATTGCTTTTCAGTATCTCAATAGCTCACTTGCATTTCAAAATGAAGTTAAAGCCAATGAATATATAGTAGATGTGAGATCTAACCACAGGTTCTTCCAGGTTCAGATCCAACCCTTTCTTTGTTGGACCACATAAACCCAATGCTAAAAGCACATCATATGAGGACAGATTCTCAATAGATTCTCAATAGATGCCCTACAGGATATGAAATAGGTTTTAACATGTAATAAAATCTATATAGAGCTATAGAAAGAATTTTCCATGAGAAACCAAGCAAAGGCAGCGAGAGTGTACAGTAAACATTTTTTAGAAGGAACGCAACAAAGACTAGTTAAGAAACAGAGAGCTGGTAAAGAGAGACGAAATCAACTGGTCAACGAATTACCAAGTGAAGGCTTGTCAAAATGATAGTGAAAAAAAAAGTTAAGCTTTATCTTTAGGCATAGAAGAAGCAGCACCATTTCTAAATCCAAGATTCAAAACGATCTTGACAGATTAGAGAGATGGGCCAAAACTATCAAAATGAAGTTCAACAGTGACAAATGCAAGATACTCCACTTTGGCAGGAAAAACGAAATGCAAAGATACAGAATGGGGATGCCTGGCTCGAGAGCAGTACGTGTGAAAAAGATCTTGGAGTCCTCATGGAGTTAAACATGAGCCAACAATGTTATGCAGCGACAAAAAAAGCCAATGGGATTTTGGCCTGCATCAATAGGAATCTAGTGCCTATATCCAGGGAAGTCATGCTACCCCTCTATTCCGCTTTGGTTAGACCACACCTAGAATATTGTGTCCAATTCTGGGAACCACAATTGAAGAGAGATATTGAAAGCTGGAATGTGTCCACAGGTGGAAGACTAAAATGATCAAGAGTCTGGAGAACAAGCCCTATGAGGAGCGGCTTAAGGAGCTGGGCATGTTTAGCCTGAAGAAGAGAAGGCTGAGAGGAGATATGATAGCCATGTATAATAGGGCTGGGCCACAGGGAAGAGGGAGCAAGCCTGTTTTCTGCTTCCTTGGAGACTAGGGCAAGGAACAATGGCTTCAAACTACAAGAGAGGAGATTCCATCTGAACATGTGGAAGAACTTCCTGACTGTGAGAGCCGTTCAGCCGTGGAACTCTCTGCCCCGAGTGTGGTGGAGGCTCCTTCTTTGGAAGCTTTTAAACAGAGGCTGGATGGCCATCTGTCAGGGGTGATTTGAATGCAATATTCCTGCTTCTTGGCAGAAGGTTGGACTGGATGGCCCATGAGGTCTCTTCCAACTCTTTGATTCTATGATTCTATCCTCCAGCCTCCAAGCTTTGGAGTGCAAATATTATCATATTCTTTTTTCCTTGCCACATTCCTTAATCCAGAAAATTGAGCCATAGGTCAGTCTCCTTTTATAATAGCTTGGCTTTGATTATACGAACAGAAATATAACCCCCCGTGATTAAAAATGGGTTCTTCCGAATACTAGTTCCTGGAAGGCAAACAAGGGGAATGACTGCTTCCCTTCATGTTCTATGACTTCCTTTAGCATATGGACAGTCACAACTAGAAAAAGGATGGTGGACTTGATGCTATCTGATAGTAGGGCTTTTTCCTCAGTCTTGTGTTCTTCACAGAAAGACAAGGACTTTACTGGACTTCTCCGTCAGCCAATTCAAAGTGTTGGTTATGACCTATATAAAACCTTAAGTCTTAGGTTCAGATTAGCCCATTATCTGTTAATATAAACCTTCCGAAGTCTTATATTCAGGAAGGGTCTTTCTTGCCATTCCACCACTCTCATAGGCTGATCTGATGACGACATGGGAGAGAGCCTCCTTGGCTATGGGACCTCCTTCTGCAGCTTAGTTGAAGCCCATTCTGCTATCTTTTTGCTGACAGCAAAGACCTTCCTATTTAAAGAGGTCTTCAGCCTTAACCGGCTGGGAAAGAGGGCCATGCATGAGGTGTGCTCTTCATAATATGTTTTAATGCTTAAGCATTTTTTTAAAAAAATGTCCTAAATGTTATTTGTCAGGGAAAGCCTAACCATGTTTTCAAAATGTAAAGCAGTCCATCAAAAAAAGGATATATGGGTTTTAGTATTATTTAGAAATAATGAGGGAAGAAGGAATGTGAAATACAAGTGAAATGTACTGTGTTTCCCCAAAAATAAGACACTCTTATATTTATTTTTCCTCGAGAAGACACACTAGGGCAGTGGTTCTCAACCTGTGGGTCGCCAGGTGTTTTGGCCTACAACTCCCAGAAATCCTGGCCAGTTTACCAGCTGTTAGGATCTCTAGGAGTTGAAGGCCAAAACATTTGGGGACCCACAGGTTGAGAACCACTGCACTAGGGCTTATTTTCAAGGGATGCCTTATTTTTATTGAGTATGGTGCAACGGCAGACACAGCTTTACTTCTTCCCCCTGAGGACACACAATACCTAAAGCAGAGCATCCTGCTCCTCACTTCACTGAGGAGACTTCCCGGGGGCTGAAGGGAAGTATTGCCACCAACCACGGCCCTGTTGAAGCCGGTGACTCGCTCCCTCTCTCACTCCCACGGGGAGGAAGCCTGGCCTGACCTGACCTGGCCTGACCCGAAGGGAAGAAAGAACAGAAGGAGGAAGAGAAAAAGGAGGAGGAAAAAGAGGAGGAGGAGGAAAAGGAGGAAGCAGGAAGTGAGAGGGAGGCCCGGACTCGCCTCCACCACCGCTGCAGAAACCACTAACCTGCCCCAATTCACATGCAGTCATTTGGACCTTTTGGCTAATTCTTTATTGTTATAGCCTTGCCTGTTCTGGTCTATATGCCTCTGGATGTGTCTAAGCTGTTCAACTAAGTGATTCCACCTGCTCCTACTGTCTCTCTCTTTGAAGAATCTTATCATATCTTACAAGCAAAAAAATCAATTTCTGATACTGTTATTATCAAAGATTTTTGAGTGTAAAGATTCCTTTTGGCATACATAAAGTATGAATAGATATCGTTTGTTCGGTCTGACAGGCAGGAATAAAAAAATTAAAATATAAAAACACTGCAGAAAAATAACTGATAAAAACAAAGATCTATGGCTCACCATGTATGTACAAAATTAAATTCTATAGGCAATACTGAAAAAATAAAAAATGTCATTCCATCTTATTTCACTGAAGACATTCAGTTTATTTATTTGTTACTTTTAAAAAAAAGCAACCCGACCACACTTCATCATATCTGCAACCCTCAAACAGATGAAGAAGTCATTCCTTGACGTTTGATGGAAAAACTTGACATAAGGCAAAAGCATTAAAACGACGAAAAAAAGCCAATCTGTAAAAACTGTATTCATGAAAATTTTGGAGTAAGCCTAAGAAAGCTAAAGATGTATTTATATCACAAGAAAAGCAACTTTCCTATTTGATCTATGTTATGAAGTTTGCAAAGGAAAACAACACAGTAAGAGTCACTATTATTATAGCTTCACAAGAAGTAATTAGGGGGAAAACTATACCTTCTCTTTCACTATTGTTTCTTGACATGCTGTACATTTTGGAATTGTGGAACTAGAAGAAAGAGAAAATGTGATCTTATACCAAACACTGCATTCATGTAACATTTCATGTACGTTAGAAAGCACTGAAAGCAAACCACACAGAAGTCTATGGACAATAAACCTTGGGATCATGTAGCTCATGGAGATCAAATAACATACACAGAAAGAGGACAGAAAACACTGAATCCAAACGTAACTCTCTGAAAATAGCCAAGATGTCCCAGTCATCTCTATGGGGTCTTCTCTAGCTAGGATAGCACTGGATTTATCCCTATCAGTTAGTTTATTACTACCCCTTTTTGTGTCAACATATTTATTAACAATATCAAAATGTCATAAAAGGAATGAAACTATTTACTGTTATTTTTGAAAGTTTGAAAACTAAAAGATGAAAATTTCTGCTAACATTATTTAAATGTATTGTTCAAGTAAGTTTTTTTTAAAGGCCTTAAAATGGATTTTTTCCTCATGGCTATAGCTATATTTTCCTGACTTCTGTTTAAAAGAGGCTGCTTTTGTTAATTTTATATGTTTGGTTTTACGTAATGTGTTATTGATTCTATATGTTGTTGTATTGCATTTTATGTGATGTATGGCACCACTGTGCGTTATTTGTGAGCCGCTCTGAGTCCCTATAGAGATGGTGGCAGCATAAAAATAAAGATTATTATTATTATTATTATTATTATTAAAACAGCTGGAACCTGGGCACATTGTTCTTTCAACAACATTGTTGCAGCACTTCATACAATAGTGCACCAAGCCATTACTTGCTGGTTGTGGATATAACAATAACATCTGTATAGAGAAATGTAACACTGAACACAAGCCTCTTTTATTATCTACTCCAAGGTTAGGGAACCTTGGGCCATTATCCTGAGGTTGAATCCGGCCTTTATCCCTTCCTTCTAACATCATCATTTGATGGTTCCTTAGTCTTCCTATGGTCCTCCTTTCCCTGCATTATTCTAAAACGGTGAAATGCTTCTCTCCAAATGTTTAATTACTTTAATGTTGGTACTTTAGACCCATCCTTTTGCCTCTGGACATGCCCACCATTGAAATCTAACTCTTGATACCTTTTCTAGAACTAAATCTATTCTTTAAGCTGAAATATGCTTCTTACTTTATGTTTGAAATACAAAGCCTTTGTGAGGGTGGAATATAAGGTTGTTTTTCAGTTGATCTTTCTGCTTAGCCTTTGGGCACACAAGTTCTGTATATGTGGACAACATTCCCTCAACATAGTATTGGTAAGAAAGTCACTCAATTTCTGCACCTAGACATCATCATCATTATGATCACGGAACCTTTATTCATCTCCTAAAGCAGTGATTCTCAACCTGTAGTCTGTGGACAACCCGTGGTCCGCAAGAACGAAAATATGGTCTGCGAATTCACCATTACGACACCATTGCCTCAAAACAATGTGGCACTGAGAGCGAGTGGCATGAAACCCTTTTATAGTGCAGAGAAAACAGGGATGTTGGGAGGGGAGGGGGTGACTACCCATGAAAGATTACTACCACATCAGCTCTAGATTATTAAATATGGTTTTCTATGGGTGAGCAGATTGCGACTACTTGATGGCATATGTTCTGTATCAGAAATTAGAGTTGATGCGGTTTATCCAATGCAATTTTATGAATCAGCACCCCAAATAACCAAACTGACTTTAAAGTTGATCAAAAACTGATTCATAACACTCTTGGTACTAATGTTGGAGAGTGATTCCTGGTCAAAATGGCCCCTGTTCAAAGTAATCCCTGGTCAAGTGGACCCCAGTCAAAAAAAGTTTGGGAACCATTGTCCTAAAGAGATCTAACACTTCTGCTCCTCCTCAAGATGCCAGCGAACAGGTCAAATTGTCTGTTGCTCTGCAGTGCGTTGTTATTATTTATTTATTTATTTATTTGCTTTATTTCTATACCGCATTTTTCAGCCCAAACAGGCGACTCAATGCGGTTTACAAGGTACAAGTTATCACAACAATGCCAGTGCAGTTAAAAACGCAACAAATGCAATAACAAAATCAACAACATCAATCAACAACAATTAACAAAAACAAACATAACGCCTCAGTGAAATCAGATCCGTTCTCATAATCCTTGTGCCATTCCTATGTTCCATTTACCGTAAGTGTTTCAGCACTTTTGTTGTAAAGTGCAGTAGCAACTTCTGCTGCATACTACAGATTTAGTATTCTTTGATGTATTTGATTTTGGAATACCAATATTTGCATATACATGCATAATGCTGTGTTTTGGAGACGGAACCCAGATCTAAATACAGCATTCATATATGCTTCATATACACACAGTCTGAAAGTAATTTTATATAATATTTTAACAATTTTGCATGTGAATCAAACATTGAACGAACAGAAAGCAAAGGTTTCACTATTTTGTATATAGTAATTCCACATACGGGATGCTCAACACATACTGCTTTTACTACACACTGCGTAATCAGCAATGTCAACTACAGTGCATGACTACTTCAGTAAACTTAATCCTCTTCTTCTCAATGTGGTGACTATAAGAGAAACACAGTTCCATGTATCTGCATCCTTTCTCCTAGTTTTTTCAATCTCTCTTTTTTAAATTCCTTTTCAGAGGAGGATAAGGCTGGAAATTGTATTCTGCATTAGAACAAACACCAGATCTAGTGTCATTATCTTCTAGCCCTTACTGAATGCATTCCAGCATCCTGTTTGCTCTTTTAAACTGATGGTGAATACTGAGTGTAATCTCCATTCAGCTATCTTCGGTGGTTCTCATATCTGTATCCTCAGATGACCCAAGCAGAGTGTTAAAAGCTCTACGGTACAATCATTATATGCTAATGCATATATGGGCAATGACAGCGGAATGACTTGCACCAACGGCTTTCCACCTACAATTCTGAATTCAACACCATCATGACTCATATTTCGTTCATTTTAACATTTTTAGGAAAGTCTGTTGGTAACAGTCATGGAAAATATTGGAAAAAATATTAGAAAAGGACTACCATATAAAAAGCATCAAGAATCATAGAATCATAGAATCAAAGAGTTGGAAGAGACCTCATGGGCCATCCAGTCCAACCCCCTGCCAAGAAGCAGAATATTGCATTCAAATCACCCCTGACAAATGGCCATCCAGCCTCTTAAAAGCTTCCAAAGAAGGAGCCTCCACCACACTCCGGGGCAGAGAGTTCCACTGCTGAACGGCTCTCACAGTCAGGAAGTTCTTCCTCATGTTCAGATGGAATCTCCTCTCTTGTAGTTTGAAGCCATTGTTCCGCATCCTAGTCTCCAGGGAAGCAGAAAACAAGCTTGCTCCCTCCTCCCTGTGCTTCCTCTCACATATTTATACATGGCTATCATATCTCCTCTCAGCCTTCTCTTCTTCAGGCTAAACATGCCCATCCCCTTAAGCCTCTCCTCATAGGACATCACACAGTCCTAGACACTTTAGTCGTCCAGAGGAGGGCGACTAAAATGATCAAGGGTCTGGAGAACAAGCCCTATGAGGAGCGGCTTAAGGAGCTGGGCATGTTTAGCCTGAAGAAGAGAAGGCTGAGAGGAGATATGATAGCCATGTATAAATATGTGAGAGGAAGCCACAGGGAGGAGGGAGCAAGCTTGTTTTCTGCTTCCTTGGAGACTAGGACGTGGAACAATGGCTTCAAACTTCAAGAGAGGAGATTCCATCTGAACATGAGGAAGAACTTCCTGACTGTGAGAGCCGTTCAGCAGTGGAACTCTCTGCCCCGGAGTGTGGTGGAGGCTCCACAAGAGGAGGATTTTAAGTAGCAAATTCCTCACAAAACATTTGTGTTTTCCACATTGCATATTATTTAAGTTTATTTTTAAATGTCTGGATATAAATTCTTGGCCTAATAAATATATACAATGGTACACTTTCCTATTTGATAGCATTCAAATGTTTTACAGCAGGAAAGGTAGAGCAGACAGCAATTTAATTAATAGGAATTGCTCCTACTAGTGAATTTTCTCATATTTTTTAGTCTACCTACATTTTTTATTCTTCATCTTTTTTTTTTCTACCTACATTTTTATTCTTCCTCCTTTTCCTGATCAGCACTCTCTATTTTTAATGTCAACGTACCAGACTCTAGAAAAGTTACTATTTAAGACTGTAAGACCCAAAATCCCCATAGCTATATGGAATTACGTAATTCAAAAAGTTAACTTCTCTGAGCAAACAGATGTTGATACAGATATGGAAGCACCACTAGCCTATACTACATATTTTCCTGGTGTTTGTGTATTTAGAGGAATTGATCCAGACATACTAGATACTGTGCAATGACCTTAACAGAGACAGCTGGCAATTAAAACTGTTTCAAACAACATTAAAATCCATTATTAAAAAGGTTGAGGGTTGCTGTAAAGTCCTTGTGTCAGATGTCTTCACCTCTTTGTTTTTCCTTCACGCTTCTACAACACTGACATTGTTGTTTCTATCTATCCAGCAGGTATGAAAATGTCAACTTCTATCTCAGAATGCTTAAAATATGTATCAAGTGTCACAAATCAGAAACGCAATTAAATGACATCTTACATGTGTGATAACTATTCTTTCCCCATTTTTAATGTAGAATATAAACATAAGAGGATTCAGATTTGAGTTCAGGATGATTTTTTGAGATTAATGAAACAATTAATAGGGAGCTGTATTGTTTTTAATTGCACTGTTTTTAAATTACCTTTTATTACTTTTAATTGTATGTTTTCAGTTTTTTAAAAAATACAATCAACAGTAGAAATTGTATTTTAATGCTTACTTTTTTGTATATTTAAGCAGTGCCATATTCAATTAACAAGCTGCCTTGTGGTTGTTTTGGGGTTCTTTTTTAAGGTTGAGGAAGTGGAAGATAAATCAATAAAATAACAGCAAGACCACCAAGGAATACTGACCTTAGCAAAGCATTCATACAGGTCTCACAATACCGATGACCACATTCTGTCTGCCTTGGATTGCACAGTATGAGACGACACTTTTCACATTTGTATTTGTCCTCCACCGCATTCACAAATTTCTCTTTGTAGCCACCTTGTTCCGGTATATAAACAGATGGTATTGGACTGCGCTCAACATTTGCCTTTTGTTGGGCTGTTTCCACAGACACTGGGGGTTCTGTTTTCTTGCTTGTGTCCATGTTGCAACTGGTAAGTACTGCAATATAAATAAATCAATATATAAATACAGCATTGTTTGAAGCATTAAGATTGAAACAAGACATGGTCTGATATACCTCGGATTCATATGAGAATTGTTTTGTTGAACCAGATACATATATATTTACATGAAGAGAATAGATACTACATGTTTGATAACTACTGGACACATAAAAATGTGAAGCACGCTGCATTTTATACAAACAAGTTCACATATGCAGGTTCATCAACCAACAGATGTAATGGGAAGTAACCACCTAAAGTAAAGGTAAAGGTTTCACCTGGACATTAAGTCTAGTTGTATCCGACTCTGGGGGTTGGTGCTCATCTCCATTTCTAAGCCAAACAGACGGTGTTGTCTGTAGACACCTCCAAGGTCATGTGGCCAGCATGACTGCATGGAGCACTGTTACCTTCCTACAGATGTGTTACCTATTGATCCAACCTGAGCCCTGCTACATACACAATGGAGGACCTCCTTGTGGCAATGCCAGAGGCACTCCAAGTGGCCAGCTACTGGTCAAAGGACATTTAATCAACTACCAAGCTTGCAAATTCTGTTTTGTCTGTTTGTTTGTTTGTTTTTGTTAAAAATGTAATACAACTGTCTGCTTGCTGATGACACGATAAATAAATAAATCTGAATGTTTTCCAACTGCTAGGTAGCCAGAAACTGGGCCTAACAGCTTACCTCTAATTTGAACCACCAACCTTTTGGTCAACAAGTTCAGCAGCTCAGTAGTTTAACCCACTGCACCACTAGAGGCCCTAGTAACCGCCTACCATTTAAGATATAAGTGTTTTGACCTGAGATTATTCAGTTTGTTCCTTTGCTGGCTGGCTAGTCAAACAGTTATGTAAATATCATCATTTCAATGAGATTCATGAGTAAACTTACTGACACACAAGACTATCAGCAAAACTTATAGATAGAAAGATCATAATAACATTTTTTAGCTTGTTCATCCCATCAAGTTCTCAAAACTGGAGTCATTATTAATGACAGGGAGAAGCAATTAGTGGTAACCCACCCTTCAAATCATCACTAGTCTTGTATTTCTGTCTGATTACAGATCTGTAGTGTTAAGGGGCTGAAATGCAGTAGCTGTCAAGATACTATTTCAGAAACATGTGACCCACTTACCTCTTGTACATGTTTGTGCAATAACCCTGTCACTAGCCTTCTCTCCTGTCCCATTTGTACATCCCAGTCAACCCAGAAAGCCTTGATCTTAGATCAAGGTTGGCCAGCTCTTAAGAGACAAAATAACAAGATCTTCTTACAGCTGACAGCTAGAGGGCATAAATTAAATTTGCTGCCATCTCATCCTTCTCCTGTCACCAATATGCCTTCCCTTTGACTCCAACCTAGCAAACATTCCCAGCTTCAATACAAATCGGATTTTGAGGGGAAAACAGGAGAGCAACCACATCCATCACTATGAGATTTCCATAAATAAAAGTTTCTTGATTAATTTATATTCCATTCTTTGAAATGAAACTCTGGCAATCTGGTGTAGAATTAATGCATGATTTCTCCTTTTCCACTTCCAGGGTTTTGCATGATTTGAGAATACTACACAGCTGACTGCACACTATTTGATAATGCAGTCATCCCTTCAATTTCACAAGTTTCATGCTCATGGTTTTGATTATTTGTAAGCTTGCCCAATGCCCACACCTCCCAAAATTGGGGCTGCTATGTGAACCTTCATGCAGCAGCCTTATCTTCAGGAAGTGAGCAGGGCTGCTATTTAAGAGGCAGGCATGCCATGCGTTTCTGTTTCACCTGATACTTCCTTTTCTTTGACTGTACAAAACAGATACTCAAGGCACACAGATGGGTGGCGGAACTAGACCTGAAAATCACATAAGTGATTTCTTTTCACGTGTGCCATGAAATTCTGTTTCACCCGGGCAAAGGAAAGAAGCACCAGGCAGTCAGGAACACAGGGCATGCAGGAAGAGGATTCCCTAAGGAACCGAATCTGCAAGGCAAGTGAAGTGGCATGTGGTATCTCCTCCTCCTCCTCCTCTTCTCCCTGAGACCATGGTAGGACTGTGGGAGTGCCACCCCACAGTACTCCTTTCAAGATATTCTCAGTTTTACCATCCAGACTGGGTAGGACTTTGACTACAGCCCTCACAAAAGTGGAGGGAGGACTGTACTTAAAATAACACAAAGGAAGGGGACACAAGGTCTATCTAGTCCAACTTCCTGCTGTCAGAACCTAGAAGCTCTTGGAATAAAAGGACACTCACAAAAGCAAATCCTTGGATACAGCTTTATTTCTGTCTTAACATAGGCAATAGGAAGACAGTTCTGAAAGTTTCCCGCCAACCCCTGTGTATATCATTCAACTATCCCATCCCCCTTCACTGGCTTGATTCCATTCCCACAAATGCTATCCTACAGTTTCTTTTTCTCCTCAGTCCAGATGGCCTTATCTAAGATGTGTTCTCATCCAGTCTCCTAGCCTCCCCCACTGAAGATCCATGTTATGGGGTGGAAGGAGCAGCTAGTTCCAAGCTGGTAGGGAAATCTTGGCACCTGCCATGCAGAAACACACAACTATAGCCCTACTGAAAGATGACCCCACAACGTCTGTTTAAATACCTTCAAACATAGAGAACAACACCCTTCGAGGCAATCTATTTTATGCTTTCTTTCAGTAATATGAGACCTCATACAATTAGCACACAGTAACATCCTGCAGAAACTTACTGGCAGCACATGGGCTGCAGACCCAAAATTAATAAGAACATCAGCCTAGCCTGTCTTACTCAACTGCCAAGTATGCCTGCCCTGTTTGCCATAAGTCTGCCCATACAAAGCAGGTGAACATAGCATTGGATGAAACATGCAGAATAATCACAGGATGTCTTAAACCTACACCTGTTGATAAACTCTACAAGCTAGCTGGTATTGCCCCCCCCCCCCCCCCCCGGATGTGGGAAGTTGCTGCTAACTGTCAGAGAAATAAGGGTGAACACTGTGAAAACCATCCACTTGCATGGCTATCTGCCTTCTCCCAGTAGACTCAAATCAAGGAAAAGCTTCATGAGAACCACCACTCCTCTTAATGTCCCCCCAGCTACAGCAAGAGTATCCCTCTGGGCAGCTAAACCAAAAAATCCCAATTGGATGCCCCCCCCCCCCATGAGAGTCTTCCTCCAGGGGCAAACCAAGAATGGGCAACTTGGAAGTCCCTGAACACACTCAGAAGTGGAGTGGGCAGATCAAAAGACAACCTGGCAAAATGGCACTACCTAAAAGAATCCCACACCTTGTGTAACTGTGGAGCAGAACAGACAACTCCACATCTGTATGCATATCCACTATGCCCTGCCTCATATACAGAGGAAGAATTGTTGGAAGCTACAGACAATGCCGTTGCCCATTTTTGGTCAAAAGATAGTTAGCCACTTGTATTCCTTCTATTTTTATCAGTTTTATAATAATTTATGAAATGCTTTTGATACGAAATAAAAAATACAATTAGTAAAGATAGTGATGTTAAATGTCGACTATAGGGGACCAAAATACAGTGACAACAAAATTTAAAACAAAATGATTTAGATTATCTGGGGGAGGAAGATTTATATTGAGACAGGAAGATCTATTTGATTGGTATTTAATTTCAGCAGATAAAGAAGGGCTATAACTCCAAAACATTGTATTAGTCTGAGCAGAAATCAGCACATATATGTGTGTATGCTGTCCTGCTTCCCAATATGGACTTACAATTAAGTAGTACAAATTCAGCGAAGGCTCAACATGAATAAAAGCATAAAGTTACAGTTAGAAAATACACCAATAAAAGTAAATCTAGATTTTTAAAAAAATGTGTCCACAGTTAAATGAAGCCAGTTTCCAAAGGCCCGCCTAAATAAAAATTGGTTTTGCTTGATAGCAAAAGGACAACAAAGAAAGAGACAACCTCCCCCAATAGAATTGTTTTACATCCTGGAAGCATCACATAAAATTATGTGAACAGAATTCAGACTACCTGAAATTTGGCACATCCAACACCATGGATGCCCAAATTTTCCTCCCAAGGTTCTATCAACCTCGTAACAGAATTCAATCCGCAAGAATACCCATTTCATTGATAAGAAGACAGCTCTGGATAAAATGTTCTAAATTGAAATACAGAATAGAAAGACTGTAAACAATGGAACTGGTAAATGTACGATTCAGTTTACACATACACATCAATCTCTTCTTGAAGGAGAACAGATTTCCTCCAAAACACTGTAGCCCATTCTATTTATCGACCGATATTCTGCTCTAGCCTCCTACTCACTTGCTCACCCGCTAACACAGAGCTACAGCTCCACAAATCCTCCATGCTGGCGACAGTCATTCAGTCTTTTTCCAGCTCCATTTCCAATACTGGTAGGATCCATAAAAAAAATCTGTCAGCTTCCCAATTATATGTCGGCCTCCCACACTTCCTATTAGGCTCCTTAATTTGGTTAACCTCACTTAAGAGTAATCCTTTTGCCTAATTCACCTAAATCAGGACTGCTAAGCTACCCAATCAAACTATGAAACTTAATTGCTACTTGGTGTTAGAATCAAATAAATAACTGTCTTTTTATACCAGCTGACATTTGAAGCATGAACATTTCTGCAAGAACCAGATTAAATTGACAAGGTATCTGAGACTTGTCTCATACTGTATTCTGGCATTTAAACACATAGATCCCTAGTGGCATAATTTCATATTCAAGCTTATTCCTGATTTAGGCCAATTTGAGACACATCAGATTAAAAGTCACGTGTGCTCTTGTATCATTTTATTACAAATTACTAAAAAAAAGAAGAAATAAAAGAAAATCGAGATACATAGAATCACCTAATTTCAACCCGAGTAGATCCACTGTTGGAGGAAAGTTCTGAGAGTGCCTTGGACTGCGAGAAGATCCAACCAGTCCATCCTCCAGGAAATAAAGCCGACTGCTCATTGGAGGGAAGGATATAAGACCAAGCTG